TCTGGACGCACCGTTATATTAGAAAATATTAGTTCACTTTGATAATTGTTGTGTGAATGGGATTTTTGAATGCGGATGAGGCAACATCACGTATCGGGCTTTTCAGTCACAGAAAACTCATGAAAGAAAACGCTCAGCGTAACCATCTTCTGATGCGTTTCAAATACTCGTCAGCGAGTAATAGCACAGATTAAGTATACTATATGCATACAGATAAAAATCTTATCCCTAACTCGTGGTACGAAAATTGTTTTTTATGACGATGTGCAAACGAGTATAATTTCTTGTGCGCAAAAATAAACTCGCGTAAAATAAAAATAAACAGCGTAATAGAGAGATATCGCTAAACCAAATAGCGTGCATGGGCGTTAATAAGGCCAGGTGTTATTTCCTTTACGTGAGGTGGTATTAACTCCCTTCATTTATAGTTATCGGATCGGATCTGTTCGCGTTGCGTCCGCTATTTAAACTTAACCTAACTTTGAATTTAAAACTTTGAAATTGTTTTGTTTACTAGGTATTTTAAAACTAAAGGGCTAGTGCTTATTTCTAGTGCTTTATTGTTCAACGTCTGCCAGTGGGTTTAGGGCAACAAGCAACAAATTCTCTTAGAAGGGCTAAGTCGTCATCTGCTGTAAACCTAAGCCTCTTTATAGGTTCTTTAATATTGGAAGAGGTGGAATCCATATTTTGAGCCATATTTATTTAATTAAAACTAATCCTAGCTACTTAAATATCAAATTACCTAATAAAACTAAAGTAATAATTCAAAACAATTCAAACATAACCTAAAATAAAAGATCTCGCCGGCCGGCCCTGGTTGTCAAATACCCGCACATGCCCATTTAAGCAATTTTTAAAGGTTATTTAGAAATATAGCTTGGTGTAATTGATCCGCAAATTACGTCAGGCGGTAACGTTATTAGCGGGCGTTGCGTTAAAAATTGACTCGCGCATATCGTAACCATGATAAGGTACGCGTAAATACTGCATGACGCTATTCGGTTTTCCGATATCTCTCTAATAACTGTGCCGGTCAGGCGCTGTGCACAATTTTAGAGGCCATAAGTGGGCGTGCTATGTGCGCAAACTAGTAACCTAACTAGTGCCCGATCCCGAAAATTGGAACCACGAAAAACAATAAAGAAAAAACATCAATTTTAAAAACAAGTTTCTAATCTGTAAAATCTGTGGTAATGGCAATAGTAGTGCTGTGTGAATGGAGACGTTTACAGAAGTGAATTTTAGCACTGTAGATTTGTGGATATGTACCAAAGATCATTAAAACTCAAGCACTAAAAAATATAATACATAGAAGCTTCCAATGTTAATAATGCACGCTAATGATTTTTAGCAGCAACAAGAAAGCATTTTGCGAAGACTTAATTTGGAAAACACAACAGTTTGATTCTCGAATCTCTGTTCATTTTAGAAAGAAAGTGCAATTACTACCATGCAAAGGGTATTCCAATAAGAGGTATCGGATGCTGATAACGAATAAAGTAAAAGTTTTATAACATACCTAAAAAAATATTTATGGCAGTGCCTAGCTGGACAGTGTACAATTATACGTGGAACATAATATCTGCCAAATAGTCACCACTTTGACTTCTCTGGCAGCACACCATTCTTTAGTTGAAATTTTCCATTACTGTTGAACACATTTCTGGAGTTATGTCACGAATTATTCGCTTAATTTCTTCTTTCAATTGTTGAAAAGGTATGTGGGTTGTTTTCGTAAGCTTTTCATTGGGCAGTATATTTTTTTAAGATAAAGACGAACAAGCTGTTACAGTAAACGTAGAACGATACTGAACGATGATTGATGTTTTTTATAGGATCAAATAAATAATGGATGTGGATATAGAGAATATGTGGTTCCAACAAGATGGTGCGACATGTCATACAGCAGGTGAACTATTGAAGTTATTGCATACACAGTTGGAGGGACGCTTATCTCCAGGAAAGGGGACGTTAATTGGCCACCTAGGTCATGCGACTTGAAGCAGCTAGATTATTTTTTTTAGGGCCATGTGAAAAGTAAAGCTTACGAAAACTATCCGCAAACCATTCAACAATTGAATATTGTATTCCACGTATATAATTATTGTATGCACACTGTCCAGCTAAGCACTGCCATAAATAACTTTTAGGTATGTTATGAAACTTTTATTTTATTCGTTATTAACATCAAAATTGAAGGCCGTGACATGGCAATGATACACGAGACACGAGAGGAAAAGTGGTAACGATCTTGGAGTGTCATAACTCGGCCCCTATGTGAGCTATGGGGATGAAACTTGGAATGTAAAGAGCCCCATCTTTTCATGGTATTTTGACGACGTTTCTTGCACTATAAAATCCCATCATCAATGAATCAAATAAAAAAAATCGTTCGATTTAAATGAAATTTGGTATGTCGATAGATTGGACCAAGGCCAACTTGACCGTGTATGATAAGTGTCACTGTGACAGTTAGATTTGCGACCAAATTTGGTGGGTAGGCTATATGAGCAACGGTGCACACAGTCCCACCATGCAAAGTTGGATACCTCGCTTCTTTTACATTTTCATCAGTGTGGGACTATGGATTTGATATTGAAGAAAAATGTGGGTCGATCTTGGCATAATTGGGGACGGATAACAGGATGTAGAATGTAGAATGAATAAGAGGGGGGTTAATCACTGCGACCTTAAAGACCTATTAGACCCTATAGACCCCACTTCCTTGAGTCATCACACAGTCTAACCTAACCTAACCCATCATACCCCTGTTGTAGAGGGGACAGGGTATTTCCCATCCTCCTCTGACAACAGTTCTTCCTCCGAGGGTACACACCCTTCCACGGTTGGTGTTTGGCCCTCCGTGCCGCCCTTCACAGTCGAGGAGTTTGCCTTCGGCTGAGGAACCCGTGAGGTGGAGGCTCTGATCTCCATTTTTCCACCTCTTTAACTTGATCGATAATAGACGATGCGTCCCTCTTTCTCTATTGCCTCCTTGGATTTGAGGTCCTACAGAATGACGCCTTCGACGTTTCGAACCCTCTAACTGGACGAAATCATCAGGATTTTTCTTAATTATGGGTCGATTGGAACCAAACCCGGCACGTGAATAGAGGTACCCGAATGGAGTCCTCAGACGGACAGACAGATGTAAAAAGAAGTTTCACTTCAAATACTAATTCACAACCTTTACCGTGTGTTAAACTATAAAAGGTGATTCGCGGCCATGGTAGGTTAGACGTTCATGGAGAACCGGTGCGGTGATACGATTTTTTTACAAATTACAGGATTTTTGTATAATAAGTGCTAGCATCTTTGTTATTTTCAATGGAACACTCGGTATATTATTATATTTTTCGAAACTATTTTCACATCTCATAATTTGTCTACTATACTAACCTTTAGCTATCTCTAATAGTTTTTAAGATAAAAAATAAAACGTGTAAACAAAGTGGGAGACAAAAGCGCGCGATTCGGGCGGAGCGAGCGACGCGTATTTATCAAACAACGCAACGTTTTCTTACGAAGCTGTTCTACGTAGGAGATGCGCGGGACTGAAGCGGCATCGTAGGCGATTGAAATATGTCGCGCGAGTCGCGCTCATCGCCCTCTGTTGTCGCACGCGTCGCCCGCTCGCTTTTGTCACCCACGTAGGACGAAGCTTTAGGGTAAAAACATAGTAGAGCGACGAGGCTAGAGGCACAGCGACGAGGTAAGCGTCGCGACTTGAATTCGATCGTGTATTGTAATGGAGGCAAACATAGTAAAGAGATTGCCGAAGCGTCAAGCGACGAGACAAGCGAGGAGATGCGCGTCGAGATAAAAATATGATTTCTTGTCGCGTTGACGCTGGAATACGTGTGGCCTTTTTTCAGTTGACTGGTATCATTAAGTAGGAGTACTGCTAGTAAAGAGACAACATTTATCATTCGCAATGGCTGAGAATAATACAATAACATCCGTATTCAACAAGCGTGCGTTATGGAATGCATCTCGTCCAGACCACAGAAACCGCTATGCATTAGACGAACTTTGGGCAGAAGTGGCTAGAGAATGTGGAATAAGAGTAGTTTCTGTTCCACTGCTATAAGTCCGCGAAGCGCCGCATTATCGAATAAAATCTCATATTCACTGTCGGAGAACATTGTACATACTGGTTTGAATTTGGAAAGTAGAGCAATAAATCGCAACTTTTGTCTCCTTACTATGTACGTGTCCTATCGCGTCGCTTATCTCGTCGCTGTGCCTCTAGCCTCGTCGCTCCACTATGTTTTTACCCTTAGAGTTTTGATTTTTATCGTTATGTCAAGCAGTGAACTTTCTGGAGCCTTTGGCCAAGTTGATATAACTGTAAGTTCCCGAAAGTACCCTTGAATATCTACACTGCCTCATATCTGAGTGTATTTTGAATTTTTTTAGTTTGTTAAGCGTTCTCATTTTCATTAAAATTGTTTGTGATTTTCAAAGTCTAGTGTTAATTTAATTTCTTATTACGGTAATTAGTAAAACTACAAAACACAGTTACTAGATGTATAGTAGTTGTCATATAATTACTTTCTGAAGTGTTTTCTAGCTCCTATAAAATTAGTAAAATGGCGTTTATCATGTTTTTCCCCTGGACACTTCATATTTAACTTTTGTTTATTAAAGCAATTTACAAAGTAAAGCACAATACAAGACTATTATTATAAAATTGTTAATTTTATGAATTAATTTAATAAGTTAATAAAGTTGGTTTTTGATATTTTAAATAATATACATAGGGTTCAATTTAAAATAACAAAGATTTGAGCAATTTTATAACAATCGGAAATAAATAATTTGTTTCCTCGATCTGCCTAAATCAATTGACTTAGACAGGTTAACACATAGAAAATTAAGTTTCTACGTGTCCTTACTCAACCCTGTATGTAGAAAAATGCGTAGAAACAAATTCAATAATAGTCAATGTAATAATATATATCCGATTCAATAAATATAGATTGCATATCACTTACTTTTTCAGGATTTCGGCTCCACACATTTACATGATGTCCAGATTGAATTAGATTCTTAACAATTCTTTGACCCATAATTCCCAACCCTAAAAATCCAAACTTCTTTTGTGAAGGTAGAATATCTTTGCTCTCGAGTAGTTCGGAAGTGCTGGCAAAGTCCACAGTTGGGGAATCCTAAAACAAACACATATTCCTTATTGTATGTAACATTCCCTTCTATAAACTAATTATATAACCATAGTAAAATTATTTTCATAAGATACATAGTATCTTCAAAATAAATACAAATATTAAATGTATATTTGTAAATTAATGAATTTGTGTAATATAATTTGAACCTTGCATATTATTATATTTTTAGATTGTACCGTTTAAAATAAGGTAGATTTGATTAGGTATTTTCAATTTTGTGAAACACAGTAAAAATTTCTCCAAAAAACTCCTATGGATATTTCGCCACTGCAAGAAAATCTACAAAATAAAATAGTTATTTTTTGTAAACACTGCTCAGTTAATCCAACGGAAACCAATTGTCAGCAGTTAGCTTTACTGATATACAAATTCGAAAATAAAGGAATTGCACTTAAGGAACGTACATATTAACTAACGGACTATAGAAGAAGATTAAATGAAGCAAATCTTATGTCAAGAAGGCATGCTACGGGACCAGAACTTACTAGATGTGTTGACTAGGCCCAAAAGTAAAGACACGATCTTAATGTAAAAATAACGAAAAAATGTTAGTGTCTCCTTCAAAAGCGAATATGGCCAAATAACGCTAATGAGATGAACCAAAAAACAAATCTTCGAGAAAAGATGTATCTAGATGATAAAATAATTTTTAAATTTCTTGCTGTTTTAACATAATCCACGGGGCGTTTCAAACTTTCACCAAAATATCAACATTTTGTTTTCCCTCGTATAATATATGGGGAGTTTCATTTTTAATTTAGAAAAAGATACTAAAAAGTCAAATAGTTTGGCTACAAATTGCTTAAAAAATCATCAAAATCGGCCCATTAAAATAAAATATATTAACCTTTAAAATACATCGAAGTTTTAAGATGCCCATTTTTCGTGCCGGTGAATGTATTTCAAAAATTATACATTTTAGTCATATACTTTTCTAATGAAAGAAATCTTTATTTTTTTACTAGAATCCAAAAATCAATTAATATATAGGGTGTTCCATTACAAAAAAACATAACTTTTATGTGTATCTTTTTTGGGGACACCCTGTAGAACTCTACATAATTTTAGAAAATGCTTTAAATTGACTTACCTAAGCTCACAAAATTTCACTTCAATATAAACTTTTGTTCTCCTTGCAAAAACCGCGTCGTATATGACGCGCCTGTATAATTCGATTTCAATCATTATTATGCATTAGATTTATTTATTTCAATAAATTTACTTAGAAAAAGAATTAAAAAAATCAAAATATTAAGAAGAAAATAATTAAGAATTTATTAAAATTACTAAAATAAAAAATTAAAAGCAACGAAAAAAATGTTTAGTATTTTATCTATAAAACACAATACAGAAGGTTTCACATTAATACATTCAGAGTAATTGAATTCCGAGGTAAAAGTCTTTGGGCACTCCACTAAAGAAAAATCTCTGGAAATTATTTACAAGTTCGAAAAATGTCCGCTAGGGTCAGCTAGGGGGCATCTGTGATGGCCAATCAGAAAATAGGATTTTTCTCAAAAATATGTAGGCGAAGAGATATTTTAAATATTTCTATTGGAATGATTGATTATTGAAATGCATAATGCGCGTTTGTGAATACCAAAATATCTGTACTCTGAACGATCGGGTCGGCGGATACAGAATGTCCTATCTGGGCTGCGGGAGCGATCGCTTAAAAATCCCCGCTAATGTCATTTAATTATTAATCTAAGTTCGTCCTAGGTTTCACTTGTTTTCGTATTTTACTTTTTGTTTGCGTTATTTATTATTATATTATTTAGTTTATATTGTTCGGGTCACTTTGCATATAACAACGAAGGTGCATACATATAACAAATATACCCTTACAATACCTACTGCATACATATAACAAATATACCATTACAATACCTACTAAGAGCGTTTATCGGTAAATGTTTGGGCAGGAATTATAAGAGGGCCAATGATTGGACTTTTTTAATTATCTGAATGGAATGAACTATCCACAATTTCTAAGAGACGATTGAAATCGCATTTGATACCATTTCAGCTCAATTGGTGCACTTTTGCGACTTAATTTGCTATGAATTCGAGTTCGGTTAATTTAGAGATTCGGAGGTACGTAAATTTACAACCTGAAATGCGTGTAATTGTTTAAAACATAATTAAAAATAAGATTTTAAAATTTCGAATCATTCCGGTGCCTGGAAAAAAAATTATGCGAGGTCAAAGTTAAAAACTCCCGAAAATTTTTGTTTTTTCGCGATTTTCAGCAAAACCGTAAGTTTTATCGTAAAATTCTCTATAAAAAATGTATCAAAATTTTTGTCCCTCAGAGCCACTGTTTCTGAGATATAACGAGTCAAAGAGTTGTAATCGTCATAATATGCACATCTTTCCCAGTGGCGGCTCGTCAGGGTACGCAAGGTTAGGCGGCGCCTACCCTACAATTTTGTCAAATTTTTTTTTACATTATAATATTTATCTTTATTAATGTTGCCAATACATATATAAATGCTATTAATACAAGGAAATGAGTTGTAACAATTAATATTAATTTAATATTTGTAGTCTTTTATATTAATATATTAACTACCGCTAGCGTATACAGCGTTAGAAATCAAAATAATTTTGACCGTTGGTGTATAATGCATTCATCTTCGTTCGGCGATTTCTAGCATCGCCTTTCAAATTAAATTTTGATCTCCCACTGAGCCGTCGATGTGTGTCCTTTGTCTCTCTCTAACTCATCGCTCAGTAGCGATGGAAATCGATGACTACGTCGAATTAAGGCGGGGTTTAGGCGATATCTTCGGTCGCCTCGGCATGCGCTTGGAGCTCGATAGGTTTTAGAAATTCGGTGGTTCCCATAATATATTATTCATCATATGTTATCAGTATTTAAAACTTTAATTAAAATATGTTTATCGACTGCCTAATATTGATTTGAATGATTGTGTACTCGTACAGTGCATTTGGATGTTAATTTCTAAGTTAACAAGGAGGAGATACGGATAAGTATTAATTTAGATTAAAATTTGGAGTAATTAATGTCGATTTTCAATATGGATAATCCAATTCATACAATTTATGCGACACGTATACAATACATTCATACCATTTACAAGTACTTCGGTTGAGAGACAGGTATTACTGAGAGACATTTTTCATGTTTGAAACGCATTTTTTTCCATAACAAGGGGCCGTCCTCTGCCGGAAACACTGCGACCTGTGAGGCCTATTGTGTTTGTCCCCCTTCTATATCTGCACCCATTCTCCTATCCCTGTGCCCTGCACTAGCTTATGCAGGTCCTTGATAGGATGAGAGCATAGTTCCTCCGGTTCTAGCCTAGCTTTCCCAAATAAAGAGTGTCGCTTGCGATCCAGAGCCTCGCAATGACATATTATGTGCTCCGCTGTTTCAGGATCTTTATCGCAGCGTCTGCAGCAAAGACTTCCTTGATACAGGTTGAGCTTGTTCAGATAACACTTGACAGCCATGTGTCCTGTCAAGAGGCCTGTTGTAATCCGCACTTTATTCCTGCTAAGCATTAGCAGTTCTTTTGCGGTTTTAGAGCTGGGTCCTTGGATAAAAGCCTTGCTGTGCCTGTGCCCCTGTCTGTTTCTCCAGTGGACATTGTGTTTTTCCTTGATCCAGAGTTTTAGTGCACTACGGGCCATACATTTGGGTATTCCCATTACTGGCTCTGGACCAAGATAGGATACTGATGATCCCTGCCTAGCTAGCTCATCGGCTTTTTCGTTGCCTTGGATGCCGCTGTGGCCCGGCACCCAGAATAATTTAATTCTGTTCCTTCGTGCCAGAGCTCCCTGTTCACCCAGGCATTCCCAGACGAGTCTCGACGATACCTTTGGGTTCACAAGCGCCCCAAGTGCCGCCTGACTGTCTGAGTATATATTGATGAGCTTACCTGAATAAGCTCTTCTATTGTTTTCTCTTCCACATTGTAGAATGGCGAAGATTTCTGTCTGGAATACGGTTGAGTGTTTACCCAAGGAAAAGGATAAGCTTGCCCTTGGTCTTTCCCCAAATACTCCAGCTCCTGTTCCTTCAGCGGTCTTTGACCCGTCTGTAAACCAGGTTAGCCCATCATGAAGGAATGTTATATCTGTCCACATTCCTCGATCCATTTTGTTCACCTCGAATGGTTTGTGGTAGTGATAAAGAGGTCATTTGGTCCGATCTCATTTGGAGTAGAGATCCTCCGATAGAATCTCCCATCTTTAAGTGTCCTGTTTCTGTCCTACTTCCCGGAGACAAGACACTTTGTTGTCGATAGAGTCCCATTCTTGCCTCCGCCTGGATCACTATGTGAAGAGGCGGAAGGTCCAGAAGCGCCTCCATTGATGCAGTGGGTGTTGATTTCATTGCCCCTGTTATGCTCAGACAAGCAAGTCTTTGCACCTTACTAAGGCTGAGCATTGTTGTTTGTTGCATTACCCTAGGCCACCATACCAAGGATTCATATGTTACTGAAGGCCTCACCATTCCAGTGTACAGCCAGCGCACCATCTGTGGTCTGAGGTCCCAGATTTTTCCACGAAGTCGTCTGACTACCGCTAGTGTAGTCACCGCCCTCCTTGTGACATTTTCCAAATGTCGGTTCCAGGTCAGTTTGGTATCCAGCATGATTCCTAGATACTTGACCTCCCCCGAGAGAGGAATCTCATCACCGCAGAGTCTTAGAGGTCCTAGTCCCTCCAAAATTCTTCGTTTGGTGAAGGGGATTATTACGGTCTTTGTAGGACTGATATTTAGTCCCTCCAGTGTCACCCTTGATTCCACAATCTTCAGGGCCCTTTGCATTCGCTCCCTTACTGTTGTGTTAAACTTACCTCTGACTAACACGACAAAATCGTCTGCGTATCCCAGAGTGCTAAAAATCAGCCCTGTTGAGACTATCAAGCAGTCCGTCCATAACGAGATTCCATAGCAGAGGGGAGAGAACTCCACCCTGCGGGCATCCTCCCGCCACCCGGACAGCAACAGTCTCATTTTTGAAACGCATTAAAAATTACACTAGAAATTCAATGAAAAATAAACGTTTATTGTCATTTGCCTTACTTTCAATTGAAAAAGATCTGATAACATTACTGATATAATAATAAATAATTTTTTTCATTATTAAGAGATCGGCGAATCAATTTAATATACAGGGTGTCCCATAAATAAGTGCAAGTATTTTAAGGGGTGGTAGATCTCGATAAAAGAAACAATATTTTCTCTTTATCGTTTTTCAAATAAGTTATTTTAGTTATTGAGTTATTTTACCTTGAAAAATTCCAAAAAAAAAAGATTTTTTTGCTAAAATTTTGAGAACCACTGGATCTTTTCTGGATTTTCTTTCTTGTCAATTTAATCTAATATCTATGTTGTCATATTATCAAGAAATTATGTTTTTTAACTAAAAACATTTTCAAAAAATTTCGTTAGTATAGTTTTATCCTAAATATTCTTAAGTTGTGTTTTAACCCATAAGCTAACATATTGGTTTTTACGAACTGGGTTAAGATATTATGTAAATTTTGGGGAACAAATAGATGTAATTACAATTTTGTCGCCTACCCAGTCTCACAAGCCACGATCCGCCACTGATCTTTCCACGCCACCTATAAGGTAGTGTACTTAGCGCGTTTTTTAACATGGTTTCTCGAGTACTTCTCGATCTTCGTCTTGTTCGTTTTCTTCATCCTGGATGTAAGTAAATTGCGTTAATAGTGATGTATCGCATGTTTCTTCGTTGGTATCAAACGAATCCTCTACTATTGGTGATTCAACATTAGAACATGGCTGGCATTGACAATTTGTACAGGGTGTCCCACTAAGAATAGCTCTCGACTGTATCTCAGAAAGTATTAGTCGTAGAGCTTGCGGGAAAAAAATATTTATAACTAAAGAGAGCATGAGAAATTGCTGGAAATTGTTTTCAAGTTTGTAGAGCGGCCGCTAGAGGGCGCAACTGCTATTAAAAATAAGAAAAAGGAGTTTTTATACAATTTTGCCTAGATATCGGATACTATAAATAATAGATTAATAATCTTCAGTAATTTTTGCATATTTTTTGTTAGAACCATTTTCCCCTATCTGCTAAAATAAAGTGGTGGGGGAAGGTTAGATCTGTTTTTATTTAAATGTTAATAACTCCGGACTGGTTGATCGCAATTCAACAAGTAAGGGCTCGTTTAAAAGAGAGTGTCTTACTCTATATTATACCATAAAAACAATAAAAATAAGCTTTTGACCGTAGACGCTAGGGGGCGCTGTCTTACAATTTAACAAATATTACGCGTTTTTTCGAAAAAGTTAAATTCGATAGTATATGTAATTTTAGCTGATACTAAAGAGTAATAAAAGTTTAAAAATTCAGCGAAAACCTTTTTTCAAACCAAAGTTATTAGCAAAATTATTATAAATACGAAAAAATAAGCCCTCTTGATTATGACCATTCTAATAAAAAATAAGATAGATAAGATTATTTCATTCAAAAAATCGACAATATACTAGAATACCATAATACTAGGTGTATTAATAACTAATAATTAAGATATCAATGAAAGTGACTAAGAAACGACGCCTCAGTGAATTCATGGTAGGCTTTGGAAAAAAAGTTGCTGTTAAAGAGATAGTTTAAACTCAAAATATTATTATATCAACAATTTGATAGTCTCAGCAGCGTTTTTTATCTTTTGATTGCTTTTCTAAAAATGCCTTTCTACAAAAGAAAAAAAAACGCTGCTAGCTTTAATATTTCTCGTGCAATTATCATAGCCATCAAATACAACAGTAATTCTGGCTGTTGGACTGTTTTGTTCTCTGGCATATACAAATTGTCAAGGTCGGTCATGTTCTAATGTTGAATCACCAATAGTAGGATACCTTAGTAGGATTCGTTTGATACCAACGAAGAAACATGCGATACATCACTATTGACGCAATTTACTTACATCCAGGACGAAGAAAACGAAAAAGACGAAGATCAAGAAGAAGAAGAAGATTAACAAGAACAACAAAAAGAAGTATTTGAAGGTTATGAATCAGACTAGTAAATTTATATTTTTTTATTTCCATCGCTATTATAATTTCCAATCCTTACTAATACCTTTTATTCTGCAATAGTTTTCAATTAAACAGAATCACAGTAGACATGTGGAATAGGCCTACTGGAGAAACTACGTTAAAAAAACGCACTAAGTACACCACCTCATAGGTGGCGTGGAAACGTGTGCATATTATGACAATTACAACTTTGATTCGTTATATCTCAGAAACAGTGGCTCTAAGGAAAAAAAGTATTGATACATTTTTATAGAGAATTTTATGATGCAGAATTTTCTCATGCATCTGTAGATGTTAGTAATGTATGGCAATCGTTTCTTTGATTTTAAAGAACATAATATAAATAATCATAACATACGTAAAATTTAAAAATAATCATACAAAATGTTTGGGGCTTTTTGGTTTTACCTTATTAAGTAATTGTTATCAGGTAGTAATTGTTAATTTTGAAGTTTAACTTGATATAATGTCATTTTAACAGAACGTCAACGGTTTCTTGTTCTGTTTTAAAAAAGTAAAGTGTTTTTGAATAGTCGAATTTAAATATTTTAAATAGTTTTTTCTTTATTCTTTGTATTTTTTTGCTTCCAACGACGGAAAGAGATAACGTTAAGCATTTTTTTCTTAGTTAGGCAAATTTGTATTACTGTAACCATAACCTCTGACAAGCAGCGTCCGTTTAGGTTTAAGGCCAGAAGTGTTTACAAAAAATAACTATTTTATTTTGTAGATTTTCTTGCAATGCAGTGGCGAAATACCCATAAAATTTTTTTGGAGAGATGAATCCACCACATAGATGTTTTATGAAAAAATATATTAGAAATTCTATTCATAGTAGAGTGACTGCAATTTAAGTAATACCCAACCCAAATAGATTTGCTAATTATGGTAAAGTTTTTATCTCGGTTTTTATAAACTTACAGGCCTCTCAAGTACTGCTGATCTGTTAAGCATCTCAATTCGACTTGCACCACCATTGATATCATCTCCAATGGAAAAGCCCATACTTTTGGAACGTTTATTTCCATTTTCAAAAGCGTCTGATGCCTTTCTCTTACTTTTACCTCTTGCGGAAGCCACAGCTACTTCACTGCTGGATGAAGTTTTCTATTAAATAAAATAAAAATATTACCGATTACAGTTGAGGTTTAAACATTTGGCGTTACAACAGCAAAATAAAACACTATTTCATCACAATATAGCAACCTCCTTTACTTTTAAGAAAATTAAAAACGCGCCACTTTAAAAGTAGTGCTTAAGTGTATTGTGTTGTGAGTTAGAGTTTTATTTTGAAAATTATTACCTATTATCTTCTCTTATAAATACATTCTTCAATATACTGGGTGCGTCTCAAAAGTGGCTCACCCCTATAACTTTTATTTTTTCAAATAAAAAAACGAGATTTGGTATGATAGTATATGATAAATTAGGATTGATTCACGTATTCAATTGTTTCTTGGTCACTTCCTGTTTCACTGGAAATAACTACAACTTTTGATTTTTAAATGGAACCCTCAGTATTTTTTACTTTATTCCATAGAAAATAACACTCTGAATAGAATGACATATCATATGTCAACTTTTGACATTTTTACATATGGTTAATTTGAAATTATAACTAGCCGTTCGTAACGAAAATATGACTCGAAGTGTGTGGTATCAAATTATTCGTAAAAAATGCTTTTTCCAAATATGCTAATGAGCCACCCTCCTTCCATTTGAGAAAATTGAGATATGAGTAAAAATACGATTTGAGCATTTTCTAACTGGCCAGAACAAGACACTAAAAGTAAAGTAAAGATTTCAGTTAACGTCTCCTTTTTGCTGCCAGGGCTAATCTGGACGGAGACTTTGTTTACGCGGAATCCGAACCGCGGTCCTCGGCCATATCATGGTCAATGGCCTACCGACTTAGCAAGTGTCTAAATCGACTCTTACTCACGAGATATCTGATCTCATCCGGCCTCGAACCGGCGTGAATGAGCAGTGTGTGTCAATAGATTTTACACTTTTGCCTTTGGACAACAGCACGATACAGAGTTTCGAACCGGTCACCCGTCCATCCACTAGTATTGTCTTACGTCGTTTAACTTCGGTGTTCTAATGGGAACCGGTGTTTCGACGTAGCTGGGCCGTTGTCTCAAGACACTAAAAGCATTAGACGATCAAATATACTTTTCCAAGGCTCCTTGATTAAGAATTAATGTTTTTAACAAGTCATGGGACTCTAGATTGAATACTAAAATACGACTTTTTATTAAGCGAAAATGTCAAAAGTTGAAATATGATACTATTGAATAAAGTAAAAAAATACAGAGGGTGACATTTAAAAATCAAAAGTTGTAGTCATTTCCGGTGAAACAGGAAGTGACCAAAAACAACTGAATACATCAATCAATCCTAATTTATGTCATACTTATACTAATATACCAAATCTCGTTTTTTTATCTGAAGAAAATAAAAGGTTATGGGGGTGAGCCACTTTTGAGACGCACCCGGTATATAGATATATTTATAAGTATATAAAAGTATAAGAAAATAGGCCTTCTAATTCGAAGTTTTGGTAAAAATTTGAATTTTTGATATATGTTACTTTGAAAGATCTAAAAACGAAATGTGAAAGATTTTTTTAATTTCATCCCCGAGAAGGGGTGAAATAAATAAAATTATTTTTTAGAAATTTCGGAGAAACGCTAAGAACTAGAAAAAAAGTTCAAATAAAAGTTGTATAGCGTTCAATTTTAGACAAAAATGGTCTCTATACTTTTTTGGCTCAAATCAAAATTAACCGAGATAGAGTGCCTAGAAGCTAAAAGACAGCTTTTATTGAAATTTTTTAAAAAGTCCTTACCGTTTCTCCGAAATTTGAAAAAAAACTTTATATTTATTGTGAATTTAAACTTAATTGAAAATTATAATTTTCTAAAAAAATTGAATATAAAAATGTCAAATATATAAATTTTTCAGTAACTTATATTTTTTTTAAATTTCTACTATCATTCCCTAGATTTTACCATGGTTAATTTTGATCTGAGCAAAAAAAGTATAGAAATCATTTCTATACTTTTAATTTGACGCTTTTAATTAATTTGACGCTCCACAACTTTTATTTGAACTTTTTTTCTAGTTTTTACCGTTTCTCCATAATTTCTAAAAAAATAATTCCATTTATTTCATCCATTCTCGGGGATGAATTTAAAAAATCTTTCACAATTAATTTTTAGATCTTTCAAAGTAACTCATCAAAAATTCAAGTTTTTACCAAAGCTTCGTATTTGAAGACCTATTTTCTTGACTATAACGCTATATTTCTTGCTGTATTAGTATGTCAAAGAAACACAAAATTTATTTAGTTCAATGCTACGAACAAAGTGTATACATTTTGTGCTTTTTTAACGGCGCACTCTCATGACTCGTTTACTTGGCAAGTATCCCCACCATCCCCACTTTGTAAACAACATTGGTAAGTGAGGCGCTCACACGACGTACGATGTGTCCACAGGTGGATGACACTTCTTATGGGAGAACTGGCAATGGTTCAAAACTTGACTACAAGCGATTTTCTAGGAATCTTCCTTACCGATAAATTATTGACAAGAGTGACAGATAAAACCTTGACGTTCTTTCAGTATTACAGTTCATCCCTTTTTCTTTCTGAAGTGTGCGTTGAAAGGAGACAAAAACAATTTTTGGTGACCCATAATTTGTTATTTGAACACCACTTTTCTCCTTGTCGGGTCGTTGACGTTGACTTGTCGCCATTTTATTTGTTTTGTTTACACGCTGCAGTTTGCTTTGCAAATTTAATACATAAATTATTTAGGCAAATATAGGTTTTTGATAAAACTCCTCGGACTAACGGGTAGGTAAGTGTTGTTAATTTTTTTTTCATCTTAACATGCTCATCGTCATTCTCCTGATTTAGGTGACAGAAAAGGATCATTAAATTGAATTTTATATGTTTTCATCCCAGGACCGATAGTAAAATATATATTTTATGGAGACCTTCCTAAATATCAACGAGATGAGCCATCGGAAGAAAGGGACCATAGTACAAAACAGAAAGGTGATCTTTTTTCTTTCCACTTAGGATATTGAAATTATTATATACTGTAGTCGTGTTCGACATTATGCTCTGAGAAATATAGATAAATAAAGAACAACAGATATAAAGCATCTCAGAGGAAAAGAGAGGTAATACCTGTATTCTCTCTGATATTTGTGTAAGTTACGGCAAAGTATTGTTGTAAATGTCTTTTTGATCGACCTGAAAACTTCGAGCAAAAAGATGACACTTTCAACAATACCCTGACAGATATCAGAGACGATACAGGTTTTTCCTCTCTTTTCCCCTGGAATACTTTTAATTTATTATTCTTTGTTTATCTAGATTTCTCAGAGCACTATGAACGAACTCAGCTTGTATGTTTCAAATAATCGTCCAGTTGGCTTAAAAATGATGATCGATGACATTTCCCATATAATTTTACTTTCAAAATTATGATATTGTTGCGAGCCGGTGTGGACTCGACCTAACCTCACAATATGGCCCGCCCTCGGATGACCTTAACATCGCATAGACACCGCAATGATTCATTCGTTCGAGAAGAATCGAGACCCACTAGAATGGACTCGTACATACGAGAACATTCGAAAACCTTCTCTATGCGCCTAACGATCTTTGGACTATTCTAGATTTCTTTTACCTGTCGGTATAAAAAGCCGGCGGCAGTGGCCTAGAGAGGGCAGTATAAATATACAGTTGACGCGCTAAAATTCAAAATAAATTCTTAGTTATAAATCGTTTGTAAATAGTTCTATAAGTCTTTTATCGTTATTATTTTTGTTCATTAGTGTTAAATAAATAGTGTTTAAATAAATTGTGACTTTCTATCCACACGGAACCGACGAAAAACGTAACAATTGGTGTCAGGTGTGGCGTGTGTGATAGACTAGAAAAATAAAAAGACTAACAATGGCTGCGAAGAAATTGTTGAAAGACTTGAAAGTGTCCGAACTGAAATCCATATTGGAAGAGAGAGAGTGCGAGACAGATGGAAAGAAAAGCATTTTGCAAACCAGACTGAGAGACGTTTTAAGGGAGGAAGGCGAGGATCCGGACACATTTTGCTTTGAGTTCGAAGGTGACCTTGACTCGTGCCTACAAAAATTAGAAGCTAAAATGACGGAAAACTCTCAAAAATTAGAAGACAGTTTGAATGACAAAATTACAGAAAATTCCCGGGAATTGCAAGACAATTTAAACGACAATTTGAATAGTAAAATAATTGACTTGGAAGTTAATTTAGAAGATAAAATCACAGAGAATTCTCAAAAATTAGAAGACAGTTTGAAAGATAAAATTATGGAAAATTCCCAGGATTTAATTAATATTTTAGAGGATAAAATCATAGAAAATTCTAAAGATCTACAAGCCAGTTTCAATGACAAAATACTTAATTTAGAAGAAAGTTTAAACAATAAGATTATAGAGAATTCTACGGAACTACAAGACAAAATAACGGAGATTGAGGAAGATGTAAATAGAAAAATCGAAATTTTAAAACAAGAAATAGAAAAGGCCAATTCACCAAAATGTCAAGAAACATCGGAGGCACCGAAACTAGTCGAAAATAAGTATATCTCAAAGTCAGTTATTAAGCCTCCACAGTTTGACGGAAAAACCGCTTGGGCCAATTATTTTTGCCAGTTTGAGGCCGCTGCGAGAGCGAACGGATGGACAATCGCTGAAAAGGCTACCGCTTTGACTGTCGCACTGCGAGGAGATGCCACTGATATCCTGCAGACATTGTCACATCGGAACAGGGAGATTATCAGCAATTGGTACGACATTTAGAAATGAGGTACGGCCAAGCTCATTTGGAACATGTCTATCATTCCCAGCTAAAAAATCGCATTCAAAAGTCAAATGAGTCTCTGCAGGAGTTTGAAGCCGACGTAGCCCGCCTCGTTCGCCTTGCGTACCCTGCTATGCCCGAAAATGTTATGGAGCGCTTAAAAGTACAGGCTTTTATTGATGGTTTATGTGACAACGAGACAAGGCAAACACTTCTTTTAGCTCATCCAACGCATTTGGGAGATGCCCTAGCACGTGCCCTGGAATTTGAGGCCGCGAAAGAATGCTCTAGGTCTCTAGGATTTGTACGGGCTGTTGAGGAGAGTTCCGACGATTCCAAAGTGGAAAGGATTGTGCGGAAAGTACTGGATCAGTATATGAGTAAGAAGGGGGGACCGATTCGCTGTTGGAATTGCGGACAGATGGGAAATCGTTGCAAAGAAGAGAAAGAAGTGAAAGTCTTAAGGACGACTGTGGTTGGTGATAGTTGGCAAACCGAAGATCTTGCAAATGACCAAATCAGTGATCCAGAGTTGGGCTTGGTGATTAACTGGAAAAACGCGGACCAGAGACCAACGTGGGAGGAAGTTTGCAGATATTCGCCGAACGTGAAGTCGTACTGGTCCCAGTGGAATTCATTGGTAATAGATAACGGATTACTTCGCCGTGTGATTGTGAGACCAGAGGGACAAAAAGAGAGAAGGCAGATCGTCATTCCAAAGAAGAGGGTCCCGGAAGTCTTGGCGGAAGTTCACAATGGAACCAGCGGTGACATCTTGGTGTTACCAAGACACTTGGCAAGCTGCGTGAACGGTTCTACTGGGTGAACTGCAAAGAAGATGTGAGGGCCTGGTGTAAGAAATGTGACATTTGCGCAGCCATTAATGGGCCACAAAAGCGTGGTAAAGCCCCTATGCGCCAGTACAATGTTGGTAGTCCCTTCGAACGAATAGCGATCGACGTGGCTGGTCCTTTCCCGGAGACGAACGATGGCAACAAATACATTGTGGTAGTAATGGATTACTTCAGCAAATGGGTCGAGGCCTACGCGTTGCCAAATCAAGAAGCGTCCACGATTGCTGATGCCCTTGTTAAAGAATGGATCTGCAGGTTTGGTGTTCCCATGGAGCTTCATTCAGATCAGGGAAGAAACTTTGAGTCCAATCTGTTCCAAGGCGTCTGTGAAGTCCTGAACATCCGCAAGACCAGGACGACTGCTCTACATCCACAATCCGATGGGATGGTTGAACGCATGAACAGAACTATCAACCGTTATCTGGCCAAAGTAGTCTCTGACCACCAAAGAGACTGGGACAAATTTCTTCACCTGTTCCTGTTGGCCTACCGTTCATCCGTCCAAGAATCTACAGGGCAAACTCCAGCCAGCATCGTTATGGGACGGGAAGTGCGCCTACCCTGTGATCTGAAATTTGGTTGCCGACCGGGAGAAGAAGTCGCCGGAGAAGATTATGTCCACACACTACGTCAAAGGATGGACGACATTCATCAGAGAGTCCGCCTAAATATTCAAAGTGCTAGTGACCGAATGAAGGAACACTACGACATTCAAGCTGAGCATGGAGGATACCAACCAGGGAAGTTGGTGTGGCTATATAACCCGCAGAGACGTCGTGGGTTATCTCCGAAGCTACAATCCTCGTGGGAAGGGCCATACGAAGTCATGGATAGAATTAATGACGTCGTATACCGTATCAGAAAATTGCCAAAAGGAAAACCGAGGGTAGTCCATTTCAACCGTTTGAGCCCCTACCAAGGCGAAATAGAAGATCGTGCTGGGACCGTGAGAACCTGCAGCTTTGATCCCCCTGATTCGGAGATGTCCTTTGACGATTTCATGGCCCGATACAACAGCAGTGAGAAGGCTCGCTATGGTGTAACCAAAGAAGATCAACGAGACCTCTTTTCCGTGCCTCCTGATTATTCGCTCGCTCATTGTGTGGCTCGAGATTTGCGGATGTCCAGAGGAATCGCTGCGACGTTCAATGAGAAGTTTGGGCGTGTCGGAGAACTACGCCGACAGGATCCAGAGGTTGGAAGCGTCTTGAGGCTAACCGACAATGCACATGGTCAAGCAAGGCACATCTTCTACCTGGTCACCAAGGAATGGTCCCCGAGTAAGCCGACTTATCTCAATCTATGGAAGACCCTGATTGAACTGAGAGAAGCCCTGCTAAACAACAACATTGCACGATTAGCCATTCCGAAGCTGGCGTGTGGACTCGATGGTTTGAGTTGGCGTACAATCCGGAACATGATTGAAGTCTTGTTCAGATTTACGGGAATCGAGATCCTCGTTTGCTGCTACAACCCAAAGCTGAGATCGGGAGAGAAAACTGTAGACTGCTATTTCTACCAGACTTCGCAATGTACCAGGGGCCAGCTTTGCAAATACCGTCATTCACCGTATACATCTCGGGACGAGCATGTGCCTAAGAAGGGGGCAGTGTTGCGAGCCGGTGTGGACTCGACCTAACCTCACAATATGGTCCGCCCTCGGATGACCTTAACATCGCATAGACACCGCAATGATTCATTCGTTCGAGAAGAATCGAGACCCACTAGAATGGACTCGTACATACGAGAACATTCGAAAACCTTCTCTATGCGCCTAACGATCTTTGGACTATTCTAGATTTCTTTTACCTGTCGGTATAAAAGCCGGCGGCAGTGGCCTAGAGAGGGCAGTTATAAATATACAGTTGACGCGCTAAAATTCAAAATAAATTCTTAGTTATAAATCGTTTGTAAATAGTTCTATAAGTCTTTTATCGTTATTATTTTTGTTAATTAGTGTTAAATAAATAGTGTTTAAATAAATTGTGACTTTCTATCCACACGGAACCGACGAAAAACGTAACAATATATATCTTCACTTCTAAGCCATCTATGACGCCATTTTTTTCAGTTTTGTTATAATTAATTTTGTCTCTTGATCTACTTGTAAAATTATTCTTTTAATTTTATTAATTTGTTGTGGTGAAATTAATTTCTGTTGTATATTTGATATTGATATTAAACATATTTTTAAAAAATGTGTGTATTTTTTGTGTTTTTATGTATGTCATAATTAAAAATGAAGAATTAAATTTTTTTATTTTTTTAAACTTCCCGCCATGCGTTAAAATCTAGTCCTTAGTTCCTACAAGCGATATTGGGAGCGCTAGTAGCAGTAGACTTGTCAACAGTGTCAAATTTAAACGTCAATTTCACTTTCCAATATTCAGCAAGGCGCTAGCACTTCTTGTGTATGTGTTTTGTGCGTGTCCATTTCAACAAGTACGCCAGCAGTGCCAGGACAACATTGTTTGACATTGTTGACATGACATGTTTCTTGTTTAAATCCTTGGCAAGTAAATAGTTATAATAATAGTAAATAGTAGTCGCATCCATGGATACCGGCCGTCCTGAAATTGTCGTTGCTAGTGATTCTTTTTTCTTTTTAAGTTCTTTTACTGTACACTGCAATACGATTTCTATGTTCTTTATGTTTCGCCATCCATATGAAGGGCTCATTTTCGTATAAATCCATATATTCCAAAAAAAAAACACAATTTGAAGACTACACGGGAAAAACCAGCTTTGTCCATTTTAATTGGAGCCGAGAAAAATACAATTTCGTGTTTTTAAAGAAATCTGTTATTTTCGGTTGAATAATTAGAAAAATATATATTACTACCGACTCGAACTTCTACGAACTATTAATATTGGTATAATTATTGCAATATTCTGAAGTATCGAAATAAAAATGCCGGGGAACAGGGGAAAAACCAGGGATGTCCAATTAAAGGTTGTATAAAACCTAAACTAAACTATTATTTTTTGTTGTAGGAAGAAAATTAATATATAAGTAGGGTTTTATTAGAAGAGAATACATAAATTTATTACATGTATTACTAATTGCAAGATGAATGTTTGTCGCCCATGCATAAGGACATCTCTGGTTTTTCCCTTGTATGGCGAAATAACCAAGCTGTAATATTTCTGGGACTAAGCGTATTATTGCTTTCTTTTTTCTCGAATGACGCTAACATTTGCCTATAAAGTTGTGTCGCTATTTTAATTTCTATGAAAATGTGACATAGGTATCTGTTTTTTCCCGTGTAGTCTTCATTTGTCCACTCTATTTATTCCTGAAGGAACGACTTAGGTAGGTCGCCAATGTTGAAGTTATTAATGTAAATTTGATATTATATAATCTATTATTGCTTTAACGTTTTAAATTATCCGCAATTAAATCGAAAAACACTACGATCCCGAAATAAACGGGACATACGTTATAACAGTACAATTATTTGCGCAGTCGATTTTTTTGCGCCTCGGCAAGTATAGCCAAGGCTGGCCAAGTCTACACTTGACTAGTGTACGAATAATCGTGATCCCTTGACTCGGGCTATGTTTACCGACAGAGTGGGAACGCGACGAGTGACCAAGGGAACCGTTCTCACGACATGCGACATGGCGAGTATTCCAATAACAAATGTTTGTCAAGTACACGAGTCGTGAGAATGCACCTTAACATTTTAAAATAGCAAAAAATATGACGTTAATCAATATTAATAACCATCTATCAAAGAATGAAAACGATATATTACCATAGAAATGTGTTTTAATTTATAGGATTTAATGTAAAAATGTATGAGATGTGCTGAAAAAATTATAAGTACAACAAATTAAAGGACATAAAGAAGGCGTATTATAAATAAATACTGCATGATTTACTTAAGCGTCTTAAATTGTTATTACTTACCTCTACTGTTTGTTTTGGAGTATCTGAAGTACTTTCATCTTCAGCAATATTAGTCAAACTTGTATCACCCTCAGACTCTGCATTTTCACGGTTGCCCTATATACATTTAGAAAAGTTTAAAAGCAGTTGAGAATAAAACGTTAAAAAATTACCTTGATATACTCCTCGGCCAACTTTAATGCAATTTTAAAATCGGGTCTCTTACAAGTGGCAAATTCATTTTTATGGCTGTCAAAGTCAAAAACATCTCTACGCGGTACAGATCCACTAAAAACAGTAAAACATTATACCGTTGATTGAAGAAATAAGAAGATGCGCACCTTATGGGCGATTTCGTGGCACAAACCTGTTCGAGATGTAGCTAGCGTTACCGTCAATCTGTCCGAGATTTAGTTTAGCTTTACGTCGCGTCGCTGCGCGCTGATAGTCATTTAGAGAGCAGCGGATAAAGAATACTGTACCGTAGTTCTGCTTTCAGTGGACATGACAGAGCGAGTGGTTGCCGGAGAGCGTTGCAAGAACTACTGATTAATTCGTAGATTTACGGATTTTGAGCACAGTACGTTAATAATATGGATTTTCTATCATTAAACAATTTAATATAATATTATATGATTGAGAACAACCGTTAATTAAAAGAACGGCGTCAGAGTTGGCTTGGAAATGAAGATCACTGTTATTTCATATATAAAATATTATGGTAAATATCAATAATCGTCATTTCCAAGCCAACTAAACCACTTTTTTCGATCATACGACATATTCAGTAGCTATAAAAGAATTTTTATTTTTGTTGTTTATTCTATGTTTAACACGAATAAATTTTCAATACGTAAACGCGGATTTTTCATCGAAAGATATTTTCGTCAAAAAAAATGTATTACACATTTTAACATGGCAACACTGTCGCTTTCAGATCCACACTGTTTTCGATATGCCTTCGCTGGCCGAATTAGAGAAAATAAGTGTTTTATTCGTTGACCGCAGAACGATTGGCGTCTCCACAATACAGCGATTGAGACGTAAGAGGAAATCAAATCAGCCTTTTGTCACAAATTCGCCCCTTAGGATGGGTTGCATATCTTCCCAATTCTTTCAATCAACGATTATACATTTAAAGACTTCATTTTTCAAAAATAAATGTTTGGGTAAAGAAATATATTAAAATAAACTTACAATGAAACTGTCTTTCCAAAAAAGCATACACGCACTTGGTTCCTTCTCCTCGCATCCTTTGAATCCTCTACAATCTACAAGAAAAAATGAATAGGTATACAGGCTAAAAAAATCAGAAAATTATCGTTTTTGTAAGAATAAATGGGATTGTCAATAAAAATTGTTTTATTTGGGGTTCTTCGTATTCTCTACAATTCAACAATTTTATTTATTTTTTCAAATTACCGGAAACGACTACAACTTTTGATTTTTAAATGGCACCCTCGGTATATTTCTACTTTATTCGATAAAAAATGATACTCTGAATAGAATGACATATCATATGTCAACTTTTGACATTTTCGCATATGGTTTATTGGAAATTGTAACATGCGGTTTATAACGATAATTTGACTCAAAATACCATGTGTGTGGTACCAAATTATTTGTAATAAATGTTTTTTCCAAATATGCTAATAAGCCACCCTCGTTCCATTTGAAAAAATTGTGATGTGATCCAAGGCTAACCGACTAAAAAAAATTAGTGTTTTTAACATAGCCAACTAGATTTAAAATAGGCACTCCAGATTTAAAATCTTTTAAATTCATTTAAAATAAGATTTGTTTTTAAGTGAAAATGTCAAAAGTTGATATATGATATGTCATTCTATTTAGAGTGTCATTTTCTATCAAATAATTTAGAAATATACCAAGGGTGTTATTTAAACAACAAAAGTTGTAGTCATTTCCGGTGAAACAGGAAGTGACCAAATACGTCCATCAATCCTAATTTATGTCATATACTAACATACCAAATCTCTTTTTTTTTATCTGAAAAAATAAAAAAGTTATAGGGGTGAGCCACTTCCGAGACGCATTCGGTATACGAGAAAAGAAAATCATATGATCAACTTTTTAAATATGGTTTTAAAAATTGAAATTTAGCTTGTACAGGGTGTCCCATTTTAGTTGAAATCATACGGTATCTCCGTTATTCGTGAAGATAGAAGGGCGCGGTTTGCACAAACCTGTGCCACTTTTTTGTCAAACGGATGCCGTAAAGAAAATTTTCATAACTCTCTTCGTTTCTGAGCTACAGGGTCTTTTTGAAAATTTTGCAATTTGGGACACCCCCTGTATCTCTGTTATTGTTAAAGGTATTGAGACGGTAAAAACTGCTTATTGTAGAACTTTTTACGCAGAATACAGTGGCGTAGTCTGTTATTCTACGAAAAGAATATTTTTAAAGATATGAACTAAAGTTATGTTTTCTTAAATGGAACACCCTGTATATTTATAAATTATATGATCTGGCTTGCCATAATCTTCTCAAAAATATATAATACTCTATATTTATTTTCATTATTTAATGGAATATTTTAAAAAATATATTAAAAGATCATATTTATTAGTAGGCCACGATTGTAAAAACTGTAAAGAATTATTAAAGGTAATACTGCTATCTGTGTCTTGTTTTATTTTGAGAGTCACTAATTAATTCTTTATATATTAGGAAAACTTAACTCTCTACCGCTATTTGTAAATCTTGGAAGCTATCGTATCGCAACTTTTAAATATTTCTTTAGCAAATTTACGTCAATTATACTTTCAGCAAGATGGGCCCCCCCCTCACAACTTAACTTACAACGAATTTTATTAAATTATTATTTCTCAAATCAATGAATTTGAACCAATGTACCCATATGATGGCCTCCCTGATTTCCGGATTTGTCCGTTCTCGATTTCTGATTTTGGGGATTTTTGAAATATGAAATATATCGTGGCAACTAATACGATGTCGAATACCTGGAAAATGCTTTAATAATGCAAGCTTTTATATATTTGCAAACCCCCATCCCATTATAAAAAATTCTGTTATAGAAAAGAGAAAAATATATTCAGAAGTTCAGTGGTAACAGTTCAAAAGTAAAATATATCAATCCCAAATAAAATTTTAATATGTGTATGTCTATTTTAGGAAATACCATTTAGATTATAGAAAATTATATATTTTAAATATTGCAGTAAATAGTAAAAACAAATTAGAGTGACTATATATTTGAGAAGCTCATAGCAAGGCGGATCATATGATTTATAAATATACAGGGTGTTCCATTTGAAAAAACATAACTTCGTTAATATTTTCAAAATTATTTTTTTGCAGAAAAACAGTCTACGCCACTGTATTCTACGTAGAAAGTTCTACAAGAATCAGTTTTCGCCTTCTCGATATCATCTACAATAACGGAGATACGGGGGCTGTCACAAATTCTAAAATTTTCGAACAGACCCTGCAGCTCAGAAATGAAGAGAGCTATGAAAATTTTGTTGACAGCATCTTCCCTTTGACAAAAAAGCGGGACAGGTTGGTGCAAACCGAACCCTTCTATCTTCACTAATAACGGAGATACCGTATGATTTCAACTAAAATGGGACACCCTGTACGTGTTTATTATAATTGTATAAAAGCATCTTTATTATACCGTATGATCGAATAAAAACGGCGTCAGCGATGGCTATGAAATGAAGATCGCTGTCATTTTATATGTAAAATTATATGGGAAATGTCATTGATAGTCATTTCCTAGCCATAGTTGACGCCGTTTTTATTCGATCATACGGTAATTGTATTTACTAAGAATGGGACTCAGGTGGAAACCTTCAATGCAGCCGCACGGACCTATTGTAGCTGTGTATGCACTGTCCCCGGATTGTCTTTACAAGAGAATATATATATATATATTTTTTTATTATTGACATTTTGAGAAAAATACATTTTTCAAAAAAATTGATTGTCTGAAACGGTTAATCCCGTTTATACTTTTCCAAATTTCCAAACAAAAAAAAAAAAATATTTAGTTGAATTTGTTCCTAAACTCCTAAAAATCAAATGGCGTTTCTATGGTAATGTAATTTATATTTCATTCTTTGATAGATGTTTATTATTAATTTTGATTAACGTCATATTTCATGCTGTTGTTAAGGTAACGCATTTTCCGATATCTACTACCCCTTTCGTAGTACTGAACTAAATAAATTTTGTGCTTCCTTAACATTTTAAAAACAGCAAAAAATATCACGTTAATTAAAATTCTATCAAAGAATGAAACGAAATTATATTACCATAGAACAGAATAGATGATAGAAACGCCTCTTGATTTTTAGGGCTTTGAAAAAATTCAACTATATTTTCATGTTTTTTTTTATTTTCTCTAAAACGGTATGGAAATTTTAAAAAGTATAAACGGGATTAACCATTTCAAACAAGCAAACATTTTTATCAAAAATGCATTTTTCTCAAAATGCCAATAATAAAAAAGATTTTGCTCTTGTAAAGATCTTGTAAAAATAATAAATTTTGTGCCTCTTTAACATTTTAAAACAGCAAAAAATATGATGTTAATTAAAATTCTATCCATAATCTATCAAAGAATGAAAACGAAATACCATTCATTATGTTACCATAGAATCGCGTTTTGATTTTTGGGACTTCAAAAAAATTCAACTATAATTTCATGATTTTTTTGAATTTTTTCTAAAACGATATGGAAATTTGTAAAAGTATAAACGGGATTAACCGTTTTAGAACAAGCAAACATTTTTATGAAGAATGCGTTTTTCTCAAAATGTCAATAATAAAAAAGTTTTTCCTCGTGTAAAGATAATGCGGGGACATCTGTAAATATTCTATTTGCAATATTTTACTATCCTTTTATATTCCAAAAAGAATTTCTTAAGAAATTTTCAACCATACAAATGCCAATTTAAAAATATTTTGTTTGTCCCATTTTTTAACATAGAGATATTTATACAATTTTGTATTAGTAATTCTATTAGAATTATAGAATTATAAAAATATTTTCTCAGATTTATAACAAAACCAGGTATTGAAGACAATTGGACGTAACAATCGAGTTTTTTGTTTCGGTTCGACTATATTAATCTTAGATTAGGACGCCTGTCTATAAGAATTAAGAATAGACTTTATTTTAGAACGTCGAAGGACGTAAAGCAAAATAACTAGTAATTCACCACAATACACCAAAACACTTTACTTTTGCACTGGACGCGCGTTTCGGTAACCATGTTAGCCTTATCAGCAGATGATTATTATTGGGTGTATTGTGGTGAATTAGTGTTTTATTTTGCTAATGTAACACCAAAGGCTCTAACCCTCAACTGCAATAATAAAGAACGTAAATTTTATGTCTGGAGTGCATAGTGCATTTACCTTGAATGCAGCCCAGTAATCAAGTATCTTGATCTATTTTAGACACCCTATATAACCAAAGAAATTTGCAGAAAAACGCAAAATTTAAAAATAATAGAAGAAACCTCCCTTAATTTCAAAACGCGATCATATGAAAATTTTCGCGCTTATTCATTTTTTATAGCCTGAATATTTAGAAAGTTTTAAGGCAAAATTTATAGGTTAGTATTTTCAAAACATAAACTTGCGCACGCCCATCCGGCAAATATCATTTTCGTAATAGACTTGCACACAACGCTTATTTCAAAACACAAAATTTTCGATTGATCTCAAATGCAACATAATGTCCAAGAACGATATTAAAATTCGTTCATAAACTCTCTTATGCAAAGAGTGAACTGACTGTATACTTACTCGGGCAGGCCATGGAGGATAGGATTTCATTCGAGCCCTAAAATTTGTTTATCAATAATATAAGTGCAAATAAATGTTTAAAAAATAAGCTACATACCAAACCACATTATCAACTTTGAAAATAGAATCTGAATCCATCGTTACAACTTCCCCTTACTACAGTCACTCACAAACTAATTTTTGTTTTCATCTTTTCTTCCCCCTCTTGAAAGTATAAAAGTGGGGGGTAGAATTGTTTACGCATGCGTAAGTCAAATATTATATAGGCAATTTCGATTATAACTTCTACCGCTTCGGTTACAGTGCAACGTTGCCACATATTATCAATCATATATTTGTCAAATTCTTTAGCTCATTTTTTAGTTTACTTAAGTTTGAGTATAACTAAGTTTGTTTTAACTCGTTCTTGATAACATGAAAAACAGCTTTGAAGTATGCTAAGGAAGTATGTTATAAAAACTTTCTGGTTATAATTTATTTTATTACCAAAATCATATTTGGAAAATATTTATATGATATTTGGTTGTTCAATGGAAATTGTTTTTCTGTTGTCTGTTAGTATCTATGGCAATATATGATGGCAATCTATGGTCTGTTGTTCTGTCAAATACGTCACTTGTGAACCTCTCACTTTCCAATTTTTTATTGTATTATTTTTCGTTGTCTTCCAACATCTTTATCGCATATAATGTCTTTGTGTGTGCCATAAAGAGCAGGAATATTTTTCTAAAACTCTATTAAGTAAGTAACTAACTTAAATAGGCTTCAAACGGTTAGCTAATACGTAGAGTTCAGTTCCTTTTTACTCAAACAATATATCTTTAGTAGAGCACCGCGCCCTCGATGGTCGCAAACTTTTTTACATAACCGGAAGTGTATTTGATGCAGTTTCTGCATAATATTTTATTACAGAAAATGCTTATTAGGTTTTTTTTGTATTAATATATTAAATTGTTGGAAACTGATTCAACTTTATTTAGAATTTCCTTACTTAGCAAATATTTATTTTTTAGTATCTAGTGTTTGTTGAACAAATGGTTGAGACTAATAGGGAATAGTAAATCGCTATGGATGAGGGAACATTAAACGATTTATTAGAGTGTTCAGTATGCTTGGAAAGGTTGGATACTTCAAGTAAGGTGCTACCTTGTCAACATACTTTCTGCAGAAAATGTTTAGAGGAGATATATCATAAGCATAAAGAATTGAGATGTCCAGAATGTCGTATTCTGATCAAAATAAAAATAGATGATTTACCTCCAAATGTGCTGTTAATGCGTATTTTGGAGGGCATGAAAAATTCAGGTGGTGCCAAGAAACTTAAATCTGTTAAAGGAATGCCCAATCAACCTCAAAGCTTCATTCAACATCCTGCTCAAATTCAACATCATGCAATTGATAGAAGTAACAATAAACACAATGCAAGTCATGTTGTACCTCATCAGCCTTATGCTAAGGCTTTATTTGATTATGTTTCAAAAGAAGCTGGGTAAGTGATTTTACTATTGCTTACTTGTTTTATTGCTTAAATTATATTTTGTGGTTTTATTATAGAGATTTGTGCTTTAAAAGAGGAGATGTTATTATTTTAAAAAAGAGAATTGATAATCATTGGTACGAAGGTGAATGTGGGGGAAAACATGGTGTATTTCCAACAACTTATGTTCAGGTAGTTTGATTGCTTAATATCAACTTATTGTTACTTAAAATGTGTGCTTGCTAGGTTATTACACCAGTTCCTAGTCATATTCCACAATGCAAAGCTCTATATGATTTTCGTATGAACAATGATGAAGAAGAAGGCTGCTTAGCTTTTAGTAAAGGTGATATTATTAATGTAATAAGAAGAGTAGATGAAAATTGGGCTGAAGGAAAACTCGATGGCAAAATAGGTATATTTCCTTTGGCATTCGTAGAACTGAATAATTTAGCAAGGTCTTTAATGAAACTGTCTACAAAGTAAGTTGTACATTTATGTTTGAATATGTATTTATTATATTATTATCTGTTATTTCAGTGTTCAACCTGGTCCTTCAAAGTTGGCACCTCCAACACCTACTACAGAGAATAGCACCCCATTAATACCAACTGATCATTCTACAACTGTATTATCAGTCGATCCGAACAAATCTCAACAAGTATGTATAATTGTAAGTTTATATGACTGTGCTATAAATTATTCTTTTATGTTTTAAAGTTGCCATCAGACTCAAGCACTAATGTAACATCAAGTAGTTCTAGTACCACTCCAAATGTATCATCTAGTAATACTAGTTCAAATTCAAGTTCTGCTCCATCATCTCCAGCCAGTCCACCATCTAGACAAAGTGTATCTTTGAGAAATTCAAGGTAATGCAAGGTATATTTTGACTATTAAGAAATTTTGTTATATTACTCCAATTAGAGAGCATTCCCAGTATTCCTAAAAAAGGTCCACATGTTATTTTTTTATTGTGTTTTTCACTTCAATGCTACTTGTAAAATATGCAAGCAAGAATAGCACACATTTTAAAAATATTTACAATGATTAATAAGGCATAAAAATATATTTTTACCAGAAAAAAAAAATTTACTTTTAAATTGTAGTTTTCTAAATGGATGCTGAATATTTTTACATTCAGGGTTTTGTCTTAAAATGAACACCAGCATGTCATAATCTATATCAAATGATTTTTGAAATATGATCAATATTTTTTTAAATATACAGGTAATACTATAGCATACATATTGAAATTTCAAGTTGCTGTTTAAGGCTGTGTGCCAACATATCTGTATTCTGTAACATTGACATAAAAACGTTACGCTTTAAAAGCGGTGAGCGCAAGTATTCGATCAGCGAAACGCAAAGCAGTCGATTTTGGTATTCTCGTTGCCATGCGAATCGTGTTCTGGATACGCGTTGAGCACATATTGGCAACATCACAATTTCTAATGTAGGTAATAGTCAAAAGTTGATAACTGACGGATGTAACAATGAAAAATGTCAATGTTACGGGAATTTCATAACCTATTGTTGAGTTATATGGATGTCATTATTCTTATTATACGAGGGAAGTGTTGAAGACGCTTCTGAGCATTTTCGATGTTTTGAACAATATTTATAGCTGCCAAGTCGTAAATTATCAATTACTTATTGAGGAATTTAGTAGTAAGAAGTAGTAATTTCACTAAAGAGCAAGATAACGCACAAAATCACAATTTTTTCGATTTTGACTGACAGTTCGACAAGCAAAACAAGGATCGTTTTGCAACCGTTTTCAAAGCGCTCAGCGCAATCAGTAAAGACGCTAAGCGCGTCAGACGAGAATACCGAAATCGTTAATTAAGTGCGCGCTCAGCGAAATTTAACGTCATATTCGCTGAGCGTCTCAAAGCGCTTAGCGTTTTCAAAGTTACAGAATACGGGCCCTTGGACGCGTAGATACCAGTACGCGCGAAAATTGCTTCTTCCATTTGCTTTAATGCATTTAAACGCTTCGCGGTCCTCTCGGTCATAATATTTTTTTCAAGAGTCGTCAAGGGTGGTTCGAATTATATTCGGGTAACTCCTACAGATTATTGTGCAGATAAAAATAAGTAAAAAAGTTTGTATAAATTCATGTCCTAAAATACTTAGTTTCTGAGATACAGGGTGTAGAAATTTCATTTTTATTTCGGTTTTCTCCTAATAATTTCTGAACGACTCGTATAGTCGATATTTGGATGAAAATCTGTGTGTAGCTGTTTTTTGACACAAGAAATTTGATTTTGATGTTAATGTGACTCCTACTTGAAGGCTTGAGTTAGGTTGTAAGTAGGTTAGGTTGTAATATAGCTGCATGTGTTTTAATTGTTTTTAAAGAGAAAAATTTTTTTGTTCGTATCAGTATAAAACTATTAAGTGAAAAATATATATTTCCGCAATTTTTACCTAAAAAGGTCTCTTGGTAAAAATCGCTACGACCAACTGTTATTTATTAATCTAAATATCTTGAGAACCATTACTTGTAGATATTTTTTACAAAAAGATTTTTTTTACGCAAAAAACGCGGAAATGTATATTTTTCTCTGTAGTTAATACAGTTACGGTCGAAAAGTTATTATGCTTCAAAACAGTTAAAACGTATTTAGGTGGCGCCCCTTACAAGTAGGAGTCATACTGACATCGAAATCAAATTTCTAATGTCAAAAAAATCCAAACACCATTTTTTGTCCAAATATCAACGTTAGTTCAGAAATTATTTGGAAAAAAATCATATTTATAATAAAAATGAAATTTCTACAACCTGTATCTCAAAAACGAAGCCATTTTAGGACATTATTTTATACAAACTGTTAACTTATTTTTATCAGCAGAATATGTTGGGCGAAGTTTTTCTTAATGACAATTTGGACTGCCCTGTATATCTCGAAAACTTATTAAGTAATTTAAAAAATCGAAAATAGTTTTGAACATATATTTTACTTATCTACCCATACCTCACTGGAATGCACCAGATACTGAAACACAGTGTATAAACATAGAATGTCATTTTGCATCCATATACATTTTCTTTTCCCTTAGATTACGCCTATGACAAGTCGTTCGCGACACACATTTAAGGTAAAAGTCGATTTTATATACAGAAAAGTTGGTCACCCTTGATATACACCTTTATAGTGCAGATGGACTCATTACATTAAGTCAAACTCATGTCGGCAAAATTGACTTATAGGCTTCTTTGCCTGTACCCTTCATATCAAAATATTTGCTTTAACTCTTGATTATACCACAACGCAACCACAGCCGTAACGTAAGTTTCTGCATTTTCTCCCAAGAGATATGTTTAAATTTTGTGCCATGCTTTAACTGTCTAATGTCAAAATAACGTCTGCGCTAATAGTGAATTGTGACGGTATTGGACTTTGTCATATTTTTCTGTTTGTACCATAGCGTTGTGTGTATGATTATTTGTGATTTTTTTGTGTATAGTCGAAAACAGGAAAGTTCAAAATCATCAAGTAAAAGTGCTCCTAGCCTTCATCCACAAGCGGCTTTTGCATACACTGCTCAAGAAGGAAGATCCGGTTCTCATCATCAGCATCATAATAAAGAGAAACGTCACAGCTTGACTAACATCCCAGTGCCTCATCATAATAGGTATTATCATAACTACATATCTTTGGTCTAGGTCACTTAGAGCTTAGTGTTATCATTGAAAGCCATTGACTCGACACTGAAAGCTTGCTACTTTTTTTAAAGTTAAAATCACTTTAAAAACCTTACTCTTGATTATACCACATATATTATTACTTTTGTTGTCATATTTATTAGTTTTTTTTTTTAAATATTTATTATAGTCTTTAAAAGCCTTTAATGAGTAAAAATCATTATTGATAGTCATTCTATTATAAGTATAACAAAAAAATGTCAAAAGTTGACATATGATATGTCATTTTATTCAGAGTGTCATTTTCTATCAAATAAAGTAGAAATATGCCGAGGGTGCCATTTAAAAATCAAAAGTTGTAGTCATTTCCGGTGAAACAGGAAGTGACCAAAAACAATTGAATACCTCAATCGATCCTAATTTATGTCATACTAACATACCAACTCCCGTTTTTTATCTGAAAAAATATAAAAGTTATAGGGGTGAGCCTCTTTTGAGACGCACTTGGTATACAATGTGATTATGAGGCCAAATTTTACGTACAAAAAAAGAGATTTCTCAAAATTGTAAAAATTGCAAATTATTGCTTCTTACCACCACTATTTATACAATAAATACAATGTGGACCAAAAAAAGATGTTATATTTTTTATTTGCTCTTACGAAAATAATGTTGAATCGCCTTTTATATTATATAAAAAATATACGCTGTTTTTGGTCATATATTTTGTTAAAAAATGGAATAAAAAAATCTCAAATAGGAATCCTGATATAGAGCTTAGTCGAACGAAGACCATCTAGTGTTTAAAGAGATACTGAGTACTAACTGAGTTAATGAGTAATTTAGTCCCTAAAATGTCAGCACAAAAAAAATCATTTATTTTCATGCATTTTCTAGATTTTTCTTTTTGTTTTATCAGTAAAGGTGAGTTTATATGTATGCACTCGTGATGTGTCGTCCGTCGTCATTTTTATGTAATATCATTGGTTTATTTGAAAAATGACAGATTGTATTTCACCGTTATTGGAGAAACGAATCGACTTGACGCATTACAGATGCATCAAGGATGAAATGAAATGTGTTTATTGTTAGCTGATTGCTAATAAGTTACATTAACATCTGTAAAAACATAAATAAATAAAAAAAGCAAATCTCGTGTTACAATATCAATCGTCTGTAGCATACACCGGCAGTATGTAGTTTTTTAGCTAAAGAAAACAGAGTTAAGCTCGATACAACTTTATTATCTTAGGGCAGAGAAATAAACAACCGTATACTATCGCTAAAGAGGCTTTTTTGCATATGTGATGTTCTAGCAAATTAAATATCTATCTCCTGTCTTGATCTGATGTTATAACTGTGCTTTTCACGTCTTACAATTACTGAGTCTTCAAAGTATCACGGAATTGATTTTTAATTTTAAAAATAAATACAATATTAGACTGTTCAATGCTCTGCCGAACGATGCATGTAAACCCACACTAATAGTAAGTTACTGATAAGTTGTTAATACAGGCGCTAAAACCATAATATTGCTAGCCTATTTTTTACAAAAATGAAAACTAAATCTTTGTAAAAGAGTATACCAATTAAATATATCACCATTATTTCCGGCCAAATATTAATGTGTGCGTTAATAAATTATTCTAAATAAATGTGGATGTGAATCAGAAATCAGTATAATAATAAGTTATGAATGTGAACGTCTCTGTTATAAATAATCATTCGTCAAGAAATGAAATAAAATTTATAAGGTGTTACTTTTTACCACACTGTCTAATACACATACAAAAAATCATTTTTTTAGTATTTGGAGCAATTATTTTTATTTTTTTTTTAATGAAATCAACGAACTATATCGACAATATTAGTATCTGTACTCTTTGAAAATTTGTTACATCTTTAAAAATAATCTAAAATGTCAATATTCCATGGGTATATTTATAAATCATGTCTAAATTATAAGAAAATGCATTTTCTATGAAAACTTGATTAGATATATAATACCGTCTAATATACATATACAGGGTTGTTCACCACATACGACACGGAGTATATATAAATATAAACGATTAGATTTTTACAAATTGTAAGTTTTGAATTCGTTGAAGGACTATTAGAGCTACAATTTAAAAATATTTTTACAAGATACAGAGTGTCCCAAATACATAAAAAATATCATAGTTGTATTTTTTTAAATGGAATACCTTGTATATTATTACATTTTTAGTTTCTACGATTAAAATAAAGGTAAATTTGATTAAGGTTTATTACACTTAAACCTTACCGTTTTTGAAATATTTTCAATTTTGTGAAATTGCAGTAAAAATTTTAAGGCTTCATTTCTCCGAGGGTATCAAAGTTTTTAATACTAAATATTTACTGCCGTTTATTTATTGATCAGTTATTGTGTTGCAATAATAAAAATAATACTACCTCATACAGAGCGTCTAAAAATTTATTTTAAATAATTTCTAGCTTTAAACGGCAATGACTTGTTTAATTTAAATGGAACGCCCTGTATATTTTAAGAGAATCATATGCACAAGTTTCAATTCAAGTCTTCGTAGAAAATACATTTTCTTATAATTTAGACCTCATTTATCAATATACCATGGAATATTGACATTTTTGGTTTATTTTTAAAACAACAAATGTACAAAATGTACAGGCTAGTAATATAATAAATAATTCTAAATAAGTGTGGATTTGAATCAGAAATCAATATAATAATAAGTTGAAAACGAACGTCTCTGTTATAAATAAGCATTTGTCAAAAAATGAAATATCATTTTTAAGGTGTTACTTTTTACCACACTGTCTAATACACATACAAAATTCAGTTTTTTAGTATTTGGAGCAATTATTATTAATCAACGCAAACAGTCAATTAATGTAGTTGGAATACTGGAATCATATTAATAGGTCCTCTTTAACAAATATTTAAACAGTCTTTTTTATTTTTAATGAAATAATGGAACTATATCGACAATATTAGTATCTGTAATCTTTAAAAATTTGGTACATCTTTAAAAATAATCTAAAATGTCAGTATTCCATGGGTATATCGTTAAATGAGTTCTAAATTATAAGAAAATGCATCTTCCACGGAAACTTGAAGAGATAGGTAGAAAATGGTATAATACATTTTGATAGACAATTAAATTGTGCATCTGATTCTCGTAAAATATACAGGGTGTTTCATTTAAATTTAACAAGTTATTGCCGTTTAAAGCCAGTAATTATTTAAAATAAATTTTTAGACACTCTGTATAAGGTAGTATAATTTTTATTATTGCAACACGAAACTCAGTAAATAGAAATACTTCAGTACAATATTTGGTTATAAAAACTTAAATACGCTTAGAGAAATGAAGCATTAAAATTATTACTGTATTTTGACAAAAACCTAAATATTTCAAAAACGGTAAGGTTTAACTGTGATAAACCTTAATCAAATTTACCTTTATTTTAATCGTAGAAACTGAAAATGTAATAATTGGCAGGGTGTTCCATTTAAAAAAATACAACTTTGATATTTTTTATTTATTTGTGACACTCTGTATCTTGTAAAAATATTTTTAAATTTTAGCTCTAATAGTCCTTCAACGAACCCAAAACTTACAATTTGTAAAAATCTAATCGTTTAGCTCGAGGGGTGTCTCACTATTGGAATTACATGTACATTTTCTTGGCAGTCGCTGGCAGTCAGTGGCAGTCTTACGGCAGTCGCCTAGAATAATTACATGGCAGTCATAGGCAGTCTTCTTCGCAGGCATTGGCAGTCGCTTGGCGGTAGAGTGATATTTTGGCAGTACATGTACATTTTCTGCCCAAGTGAGACACCCCTCGGTTTAGCTACAATACTCCGTGTCGTATGTGGTGATCAACCCTGTATATTAGAGATATAATATAATTTGTCTCAATTTGTTTAATACAGGGTGGCCCATCGAAAACGTTCCGCAAAGCATAACGGCCAGGATATTTTTTTTTTCTAAAAATCCAAAAACACGTCAATTTTGTTTGTGAAGGGGACACCTTTTGCCCCAAAAATGATTGCATAATCTTCAACCCTCTAAGCGGGGGTGTCATTCCCCAACTTTTTTCAAGTGGGAAGGGGGGTCAAGTGGTACCGCAATGAAAAGGGCTTTTTATTCTCTATACTTTCCCGCTTCGTTTTTGAAAATCGATCGAGTCATTGAAAAAATATGAAGGATTGAAATTTGAAAAGTTTATTTAAACATTTATCAGAGTAAATGATAAGGATAAATTCCTTCGACCAATTTGCTGTTTTTTCTTATTATTTCTGGATGTTTACGCATTTTTTCACTTGCCACAAGGTTGAACGATCAGGTGCGGCAGTTGCTAGATAGCTGTTCTGTGACTTGTGCGTTGAAGTTCTTCTCTTCAGAGAATGAAAAGCCCTTTTCATTGCGGTACCACTTGACCCCCCTTCCCATTTGAAAAAAGTTGGGGGATGACACCCCTACGCTTAGAGGGTTGAAGATTTTGCAATCATTTTTGGGGCAAAAGTTGTCCCCCTCACAAACAAAATTGACGTGTTTTTGAATTATCTGAAAAAAAAAATTACCCTGGCCGTTATGCCTTGCAGAACGTTTTCGATGGGCCACCCTGTATGTTAAATTGTGCATATTGTGCATCTGATTCTCGTAAATCAAAAAAAAATCATCCCAATATGATATTATAGGTGTTTGAGCCATTATCTCGTGATAAAATATGATAGTTTATGTTTATGAGCCTATATTTGGTGATAAAATATAAAACGAGTCGATTAAATGAAAATTTATATCAGACCTTTTTTGAAGACCGTTCAATTTTCTACAATAATATGTGTTGATTTTTACCAAACGCTGATTTGTTAGAACACAATGAAATTCAAAAGAAAAAAAATGTTTCCCCGTGTTATTTAAATGGGAAATAGAAAATCACGATGAGGCACCTCTGAATATTAATATTAAAAGCTCAAACTTTACCAGAATTTTTTTTCGTCATCCTGTACGATATTTTCACGGTATAACTAAAAAGAAAAAAATATTTTTTTTGGTGCACCGTAATACAGGATGTTGCATTTATAAAAATACCACTTTGATATTTTTTATTTGTTTGGAACAGTGTACTTCTTGAAATTAATTTTAAATTGTAACTTTAGTAGTCCTCCAACGTTCCCATCACTCACAATTTCTTAAAATCTAATCGTGTGACTACAATAATACTCCGTGTCGAATAAAGTGACTAACCCTGTATAATTAAGTTTTTTTAATACACAAATTGAATTTAACGTTGAATATATTATTATTGATAATTAAATATTTTAGTGGCCACCGACATTCGGCGGAAATTATGCCTTCTGCATCAGTCAGTCAACTCCCATCGACTGCATCTGAGCGCACCAAGCGTAATTCTGGTCCTTCTACGACAGCCGCGACGATTGCAGAAATTCAGCTTCCTGCAGCTTTCATGGCTCTGTATCCGTACAAGCCACAAAAATCAGATGAGCTCGAGTTGAAAAAAGGCGGCATTTATATGGTGTCTGAGATGTAAGTAAGAAATATAAGTACATAATCATATATTATATCACGAGACCTATAAATTTAATCGATTAAACTATTCAAATATATTTTGCTGTGATTTTGCTTGGAAAATAGTTGCATGCACAATAATTTAATAAAAACACGAGACCGCGAAGCGGTCGAGGGTTTTTATTCTAAAATTATTGTGCATAAAACTATTTTCTAAAAAGCAAAATCATGCAAAAATTATTTGGGTAGTTTGATCAATTAAATTTATAGGTTGAGTTATATACGGCTAGATTATTTCCTGAACGACTTAGAAATGAAGCGAATGACTTAGGATGAAGCAAATAACTATAAGAATTTTATTAACTATAAAAATTAACATTTTCGGACAACATTTACTAAACCGTGAATTCATTTTCACTACAGCAGTAAATAAAATTTAAAGACGTTTCAAAATGACGTCTCGTAAGTAATTTTTGTGCTTCTGCTACCTTGTTTACGCATCCCAACAATGCATCGAGGACCGTTTCGCATGTTAACATATCAAATTCTGACGTATTTTTCTCCACTTATTTGTTCGAAATAATATCGAATAAGGGGTTTTCACCGATTAAAATCGTTATTAAGTCATATATATGTGTTGTAAATCAATGTTTTTAAATGAACTGTTGCCAAAATCTCTCAGAATTAGTGATAAACGACAAAAAGAAAATCCAAAAGGAAGCCGAAAAAATAATCGCGGTTAAACTGGTCTTGGGCTTTAATCACTTATCTAAACAAAATTTATTCGAAAAATTAGATTAGCTGATTGGTCCATTTCACGATGAGGGAAATAATTAGTGATGAGCCAAACCGTGATTTTCTGTTCACAGGCTTACCTGTAACAGCGACTTTGCATTATCTGTGACTCTTAACTGTGACTGCGACTTTATGATTATGAATCCGAAAGCACAATCACGGCTAAAATATAAGATACGATACGAATGATACGATTCAACGAAAGTTGTTGTTGTTATACTAATTTTTATTTCGTCCCATTGCTGCCAAAAGTCACTAACTAACATTTTTCCGAACAACCAAATTCAATCACTAACTATGTTTTGAAGCGGAGAATCGATTGCAAAAGTCATTTACTACGATTTCTGGCTATTTATGTTTTATTTTAACACCGAATAGTTACTAACTATAACATCTTTATGCAATGCAATTCATCTTTAGACGCATTTTTCTCGGAAGTAATAAAAAGTAAGTTAGTGACTTTTGGCAGCAATGGGACGATTTGTCCTTTATCCAAGGCCGCTGAAATAGAAAATACTAAACAGTGGGTAAAAGCTATATTAAAAAATAAAAATAAAACAATTTTTTTATTTAAAGAAACCAACGGGAAAAGTATAAAATATGCAATATGATCATAACCATAACGAACGAAACTTAACAACACGAGATAAGTAATACATTAAACAACAAATACTTTCTTTTATGTTAAAATAAACGAAATATATAAAAAATGAAGTTTCTAAAAAAAAATTAACAGTATAAAGGTAAAACTTTATGTTTGGCTTTAAAAAAACCTGCTAAACTAAAAAGGAACCAAACCGATTCGTAGTGATAAAAAATAGTAATAAAATATAAAATACATAAAAAATTAAATCACTTCTAACAGTCACTGTCTTTAGATCACTTTGTCAGATATCTATCCTATGAAACGTACGTCGTGACTCGTGACTGTGAACTGAGTCACGACCGGCGCCATCGGCAGCTGCGTTCGCGACGCGCGACCTCCCGCTCTGTGAAGTATTTTCTCGTTACCAGAGAAATCACAATTAACTGTAATCGTCACGCTTTAGCAAGTCACCGTTTATTTTCAAATCAGTCACAGGCTGTGACTGTGATTATAGAATATCAGTGACAAAGTCACAATTACCGATATTTCACTCATCACTAGAAATAATCATATATTTTATCACTAGACCTATAAATTTAATCAATTAAACTATTCAAATATATTTTGCGCGTGATTTTTGAACTGTTGCCAAAATCTCTCAGAATTAGTGATAAACGACAAAAAGAAAACCCAAAAGGAAACCGAAAAAATAATCGCGGTTAAACTGGTCTTGGGATTTAATCACTTATCTAAACAAAATTTATTCGAAAAATTAGATTAGCTGATTGGTCCATTTTACGATAGGGGAAATAATCAATAATAATTTATAAAATATGCATAAGTTTTTGTTTAAGTTTGAATATTTTTTCTTTATTTATACTTGTAAGTCTCATTAAATTTTAAAGGTTGCCGGAAACACTTTTGGACCAAATAGGACTGTATTATAACGCGTTATCAGGATGAAAATTTAATTAAAAAAAGCAAACATAAACAAAAAAATTGGCGCCGGGAGGCACGTATAGCCGCCCATACTAAAATATGTTAATAAAAAGTTGGTAGGCAATTCTTTTAGTTTCGAAGTAAAGGAATTTTTCCAATTTTGGTCCGCGGTTATTTCCCCTATCCGCCACCTGGGGTCGCGTCCGATGGGAGTTTGGAGTTCTCCACACGGATTTTCTCAAAAACGGACTACGGAAACACGGAATATCTCAAAAACTGCGACTTTGACTGATTTTGATGTTATTACAAATTTTGTTGCAAATATTATTCCTAATCTTAAATTGAAAACCGCGTTTCGCTAGCTACTGTAATTTTGGAGTTACAATTTTTTAAAATTTTTAACCCCGTCCTATACCCCTGTACCAACCCCCCACCCCCACCAAAAACTAATGGCCAGATTCTCATTAGGAGATAGGTACACGGAATGAATATCGACTGGAAAATATCGCGCATGTGCAATGCATTGCTTACATAGATATTTTTGACAGAGGCTTCTTTTCTAACAATTATTTTAGTCGTTTTAGTTTTCCGAAATCCGAATTGCGATTCGAGAAAAGTAATCCGTTACGAGTTTGTATCGATCGATGCGTGTCGAGGTTGTTTCGTTACATTGGCAAACCATCACGGCGGAAAGTAATGCCTAGCGATAGCAGTTCTGCAAGAGCACGTGGCTCCGTGGCTGAGGCCATGGCTTCGTGAGCGAATGGTCCGTGGTTCAAATCTCACGCCGGACCAGACCTTTTTTATATTTTTTTTTGCCTATAGCGTGATTAATTGCATTGGTTTGGTTTGGTTTTTTTTTCTTTTTAGTTGGATTGGTTTAGTTATTTGGCGGGTTGGTTAGCGTGGTTATTTGGAGGGTGTTAATTCATTGATTAGTTGTCTGCATCCGCTAGTCCATACGCTAGTCGTCAATGCGCAAGCGCGATATTTTCCAGTCGATATTCGTTCCGTGTACCTATGCTCTAGTAGAGTCTCGGGTTCCACAGTATTTTTGTGCCAAATCTGGTTAAAATCGGTTTGGCGGTTTTTGAATTATCGTGTTACAGACGGACAGACAGACAGACACCGTGAAAATATTTTGTATTTAGGTCATTTTTGACCCAAATAACTCATTTTGAGCGAAATGAAAAAAACTTTTTTTTGCCGATCTTAATAGCCTAATAATGTTTTAAAGTTCATATCAAATAAAACCGTTGCACGTCATCGAACATATCGCCTTCCACACAAAGTGTAGTAACTAGTATTTTGAAAATTTTATGGTGGGGCGAAAAAAACTTATTTTAGTGTGATCTAGCAGTCACCGCATATGTAACTGTAACAGCAAATGGTTCTAATGCTGTATCAGACGGAAAGTAGAAAGTAGAGAGTAGAAATAAATGACATATCTAACAAAAGTTCATTTTTAGATCTCAATAAAAGGCGTTTTTTTCTATCTCTTGTAATATTTTCAAAATGTCAGTTACGACACTTTGTGTGGAAGGCGACGATGTGTTTAGGACAATTTTAACTGGTTTCAAAACAGCCGTTAAGGGACATACAGGCTGAGAGCGTCTTGCGTCCTGTGCTTTAATCAAAAAGAAGGTGAACACTGATTTTTTATTTTCAATATATTGTCGTGGTGTATGTGGCGCTAAACTGTATTGCTGGTTGAAATAATTTAAAATTACCTTTCCAAAAATAATAATTTAAAATTACCTTTTCAATAAATTAAAAATATACAGGGTGTCCCATATAAAAAATCAAATTTTCTGTTGAAAATTCTTAAATTATTAATTTAAAAAAATATACTTAAACCATTAAATTCTACGTAAAAAGGTGCTTTGGAAATATTTTCATAAAAATGCAAAATTTTCCATAGCAAAACAGTTACAGCGATTTGTTAAAAATGCCTATTTTTGAAAAACACTCCGTAACTCCGAAATGGTAACAGATATCGATATGCGGTTTTCACCATCATGTTTTTGACAAAAATTGAGCTCCAGACACCAATATTAGTTTTTGTCTATCTCTTATAGGAAAGGGTGTTTCATTTAAAAGCGTCGAATTTGACCCTCCCTGTACATTGTGTATATTTCGATTTTTGCAATCAACACAAATTGATAGCGTTTTAAAATAATATAGCGATGGCTTTAGAAATAGGAATTTGAACAGTCTAAAGGATTGGAATTAAAGGTTAACAGTAACTGATGAAGAGTTCAAGAAAAAATGAACACATGCCGAAAAAAACGGAAGTCGCTCAATAAATAATCGCTCATTTGAAAAAACGTACTTAAAACGTAAAATGAACGTACTTAAAAATTTTCAAACAATAGGAATTGATCTTAGACACACCCTAAACTCATATTTGACAAATAATAATGAAGTAACGGTGAACGATGGCTGAACAGTCTTTATATAATTAACTTATTTATGTAGATATTTTGCAATACTTAAAACAATTTAGTATAAAGGATAAAATCTCAGGTTATTACGGTCTGTTTTCATTCAATGACACTCATTTATTCATTAAAGCCTCTATATTTCGTTAGTGGTTACTAACATCATCAGGAGGTACCAAGCTACAAGAAACATTATTCTTCACAACAAAGCAATCCAGCTAAAAATACAAATATACAAGATAAGAGTTAACGTAAGGTTTGTTCCAACCCGCCGCAGAACCGTCCCTGAACGATCACGCTCGTGCGCAATAATTCAAATGTGTTCCGACCGAGATTTGACGGTTATCGGACGATCCTATTTGCGAACCAACCTACCTTGGGATCGTTTAGTTACGATTTCCGAACGGTAATTTCGTTACATGGTTCAAATGGAGAACTGTTTGGGTTGACTTGCGCATTAAAGCATATTGGGGCAGGGATTATCGATTTTTAACAGCCGATTCTGGTCTGGCGCGCGGCGTCCGGCTGATGCTTCTGTCTTGGTTGTTTTTTATAAATTCGAATACGTGTGAGTTATACTTTTGCTTGTGAGTTTGTGTGGAGTAAATCGTTCGGAAATTTTAATTAATTTTTATTTACAAAATAATGTTCAAATATTCTATACTGTAATGAAATAACAGGAAACTACGCATAACAGGATTATAAAAGAGGGGATAGGTAAGTGAGTTAGTGAGTTACAGTTGAAACAACACTTACCAACAATTTACTGGATTCTGATTCTCCATTTCAAAAATAATAATTATTATTATTGCAAATTGCTAACAAAAATAATAGGGTTATGTTATGAAATTCTAAACAGAAACAAAAATCCGATCGATATACTTTTAACAGTCCCGAAAACAATCCACAAAGCGTTCCAACGTTGATAATTTTTGCACTGTCATGAAACTATTCGAAGTCCGTGCATGTTAACAAAGTGCAAGAAAACCGATTCGAGTACGATTTCGAAACGATCCCGAAATGCTGGTTGGAACAAACCTGTAATAAAGACGAAAATCAAAGAACGAAAAAAACACAAAAATAAATCAACAAAAATCTCGTCACAAATTACAGTGAGGTAAAAAAACAAAATAATATATGGTAACTAATTATATATAAGTAAATCCAGAAATATTAATTAAAGAATCTAAAATAACTTACTGCCTTTTATTCAGGGATTGACTAATAATATAATTAAACAAATCGATGATAATTCCAATTTTAAAATAGCAAAATATAATATGTTAACATCAGGAGGAATATTTTCAAACGTTAAGGACAGGGACTCCAATACTTCAGAGTAATTAGAGTAATGTTATATACAAAATCCCTTGTCTTGACTGTGAGGGATGCTACATTGGCCAAACATCCCAGTCTTTAAAAAGTAGAATAGCGCAACACAAAAGTGATAGCAAATTAGGCAAATAAATAAAAAAGATAAAGACCATAATTTCGATTACAAAAATGTCTCAGTTTTGGACCGTGAATCTAATTATAATAAAAGACTGTTCCTGGAAATGACACATAAATATTAATAAAGAAAACTCCATTAGTTTTAGATCGGATATTGACAAACTGAGTGTGATTTATTGCAATGTTTTGAAAAATAATATAAAATGAATAAGAATAATAATTGTACTTTTAATAGTAATACATATTATTATATACTAATATTAATATATCTCAAGAATTTAAATAATGTATAAAAAAAGTTTTTTTGCTTGTTAATAAAGAAATAATTATTAGTGCTTTTGATTGTTGTAGTAGGTTTTTTGTTAAATATTTTTTAATACATGTAAATGAATTTTATCTCGGCACATTAATATACTCGTACCTACTTACATTCACAGAATAAATTTATAATGTGTGGTGTGTACGTACCGATATTTTAACTCTAATTGTAAGTTATTTTAGATTCTTTAATTAATATTTCTGGTTTTTACTTATATATAATCAGTTGCCATATATTATTATGTTTTTTACTTCATTGTAATTTGTGACGAAATTTTTGTTGATTTATTTTTGTGTTTTTTTTTGGTTCTTTGATTTTCGTCTTTATTACGTTAACCCTTATCTTGTATATTTGTATTGTTTGCTGGATTGCTTTGTTGTAAAGAATAATGTTTCTTGTAGCTTGGTACCTCTTGATAATGTTAGTAACCACTACAAAATATAGTGGCTTTAATGAATAAATGAGTGTCATTGAATGAAAACAGACCGAAATAACCTGAGATTTTATCCTTTATACTTAAAGTACGATCGAGAAACAATCCTCAAATTAAAACAATTTAGCTACATAACACACATTTTAATTGTTTTTAAATATTAATTAAAAAATATTAATATATATAATAATTAAAAATTATTAATTATATTATTTATATATTAATTAAAAATTATTTTTTGCATGCCTTTTTTTGAATTATTATTTATTTAAATTACTTTCGTTGTATAGGATATTCATGCAGAACGATGTATTTTTATTTATTTTTTTTTTAGTTGCCAGGATGGTTGGTACAAGGGAGTGTCGAACCGTACCCAGAAATGCGGCGTATTTCCCGGCAATTACGTGACACCGGCTCGCGCCTCTTCTAGCCACATCTCCGCATCGCACGCAGCCGGATCCGACGCTCACCAGTCCGTAAGTTTTTCCCGCGGCGGCAAGGGGGCGCGGATGCGTTCCGCGGACGCCCCCCCTCCAGAACTGCCTCCGCGCGCCTCGAGCCCCACCGTCGTCACCTGGCAGGCTGGATCTAGTCCGGCCGGCATCGGCTCTAACACGCTTGCGCAGTCTAAGTGTGAGAAGGTTGGTTTGTTTTTGCTTACTAATTACTTAAGCTTGATTTTCATGCATCATTATACGTTGATACGATGGTCCGACGGTGCCCTGATTGGTCATATCGTTTTCGTTTTACGGAGGCATGAAAGTGCAATAAATATAAAAACTGCGTAATTTTCTAACCAATCAAAGTCTTTAAATTCTACCAATAAAATTAATGTCGTATCATCGTATCGTCCGATAACGAATGCATGAAAATCAAGCTTTATTTGAGCTTTTTGGGTGAACGCTCTAGATTCTACCTACTCTCGTGGATAAAGTTATGTATACAGGGTGTTTCAAAAACATGTGCCATCTCTCGTGGGGAGATTCCTCACGTAAAAATATGATTTATTTTTCATTACTTTTTATTTATTACTTTTAAATTTTAGCATTAAAATAGGTGGTACTTATAATAACTTTTACCCTCAAAATTTCATTCGAATCGCTAAAAGTACCTGGAAGAAAATTATAATAAATCGAGAAATTATTAAGATTTTAACACCCTGTAGCTGCGAAACAAAGCAGAATCGGACCTATGTTGATATGAAAAAATAATCTTATTTTTACGTGAGGAATCTCCCCACGAGTGATGGCACATGTTTTTGAAACACCCTATATGTGGCGGCTAAAAGGATACTTAGCTAGGTTTAAAACTAGCCACCTATTTTACAAACTAACTAAAAGCGCTGTTATTTTTGAAGAATCCTTCTATTTGTGTAAAATAAATAGCGGGTAATCAGCAGCTGGTTTACATAAAAACTAGCTGGTTAGTATACACACTAGAGATGAGCAAAACTGCGATTCGCCAATCGCAATTGAAACTGCGATTCTGATTTTTAAATCGCTGCGACTGTAACCTGCGATTGCGATTTTAATATTTAAATTTTGGAGTTAAATATAATTAATAATATTTAAATATTGGATTTTAGAATGGAGTCTAGATATCGGACAACGTCGCACAGTGATAGAAAACGCGAATCTAGAATTCCAAAAGTCCAATTTTTGTAATCCAAAAGTCCAATTGGTTGTAAGATAATAACGAATCAATTACCGTTTTATCTTTTGAAATATTCAGGAATCACAAAGAGTTGAAATTTGAATTTATATCTCCGTAAATAATTTTTTACGGAGTTCCAAAAATGGTACATTTAATTAGTAGGCATGGAGACATTATTTGTCGTTATTCATGCGAACTGAAAAGAGCTGTCACAGGTGCGTTGGACAAATTGAGTTTACCAAAATTAAGATGGATATTTACGGATGTAAATATTTTACTTTTTTCATGATTTGTTTATTTTTAAAATAAAACTACTCACAGTAAAGACCAACAGTAATCTGGAAAAAATTAAACATAATTAAACATAATAATAATCGAATTTATATAAATTGGAGCAGAACTTTTTTGCGACTCGTTCCGACTCGGACCTTTTGTCACTGATGTCTTGTATAATCATTCTTCTTTTCAAATATCCATAAACCTTTTGCGTATACGTGCGTTTGTACAGGGTGTTTACAGTTAAATGGACCCCTCCATTAACTTTTTAATTTGACGTTTTATAAAAAGTATCTCACATAAAAGTTTATTGGTTTTAAATGAAGTTTTCAGAGAATCTGTTTCAGATATACTGGGTGCTCTAAAAATGTCCATTTTGACCACCATGTATCAAATTATTACCAAAAATTAACATAATTCACATAAACTATGTCCCTTTCAACAAGAAAGTCAGTTTCAAATAAGTATTAATGCTCCCATAAGGAAAAAAGCTGAGTATTTTGTGGCCTGCACACTTCATTTTTGACATGAAATTTAAATTATATCTCGAAATCGGTTGAATTTAGGTCCCTATAGGACATTATACTGTTGCGGACCCGTGTGAACCCGGTCTAAGCTGACTAATACGCTTGGCGTCGTTCAAGGACGAATGGACAAATCTCGGCTGTTCCGGATTATTCGGGAACTCTTTAGCTGTGGGTATAAAAGCCGGCGGCTGGGGCCTAAAGAGGGCAAACATAAATAGACGAGTACAGTTGACGCGCTAAAATTCAAAATAAATTCTTTCTAGATAAATAGTTATAAATCGTTTGTAAATAGTTCTTTAAGTCTTTTATCGTTATTGTTTTTGTTAATTAGTGTTAAATAAATAGTGTTTAAATAAATTGTGACTTTCTATCCGCACGCGGAACCGACGAAAAACGTAACAATACATAAAAATAACATGCAACATGAAAATGTATAATGAAATAAGTAGAGGGAGAAGGGGGTTTCTACGCCAGGAGGATCAGGAGGATCAGAGGATCAGGCGCACTGCGCATGCGCGAATCAGGTAAGAACGGTTAAAATAGGCTAATAAACAAGAATACAAAAGGTTTGATCCGCTTTGAACAGCTTTAAAACAGAAATAAACGGGTTTAAACAAAAAATGAACAGGTCTGTTGTTTTAAGCTAAAAAGCGGTTCAAAGCTGTTCAAAAGCTGTTCAAAGCGCATCAAACCTGTTTATTCTTGTTTATTAGCCTATTTTAACCGTTCTTACCTGATTCGCGCATGCGCAGTGCGCCTGATCCTCTGATCCTCCTGATTCTCCTGGCGTAGAAACCCCCTTCTCCCTCTACTGAAATATGTCTAGAATTTTATATGAAATCCGAATATGGAATAATATAGAGGGTGTTCTATTTAAAATAAGCAAGTTGACATCTACTTCCGGTATAACCGGAAATGTTACTATCTTGAAAATAATTTTAAAGTATGCATCACCAATTACCTAACAACTTTTGTATTTAACATTTTTTGTATCACTGTAAATAAGGGAAATATCTTCCCCCCCACACATCGTTCACTCACCCTGTGCGTTATAAATTTTACTTTAAATATCAATGGTTATATTTAAACACAAAAAGAAAAAACTAGAATAATTTTCGTAAGAAATAAAATATATTTTCTTACTGAGAGACTTGGAATTCTCGATTCGCATTTTCTACCACTGTGCGTCATTGTCATCATGACACATACTGTTTTTTTATCAGAAAAAAGTTATAGTGTCGAACCACTCTTAAAAAAAAAGGTATATTATTCATTTTGAAACCCTAGAAAATAACACCTTTTCTATAAATAAAATCAGAGAAAAATTCAGTCGCAGTTTACTATAAAATGCTTCAATAATTACATTCGCAACAACATTACTTACTACATCGACCACACAATTATATTCTCAACAAAATCGCAAATTGCAACTCCTAAAAATTCAAACTCGCAGATAGAAGGTTGTCGCAGTCCTAGTTTACAAAATCACAATCGCAACAAAATCGCAACTCGCAGCAAAATCGCAACTTGCAACTCGCAACTATAATAATATTGGTTGCCTAAATTGAAACTCGCAAATAGAAGAAATCGCAGTCGCAGTTTCCTATTTAGAATCAATAGCGATTTTAGAATCGCAGTTTGCGATTTGTTGCTCGTCTGTACTGCACACTATATTATTTTTGGTTAGTATTAGGAGATTTTATGTTATTATTTGAATATTAACCAGATTTTTTTTAGTTTGTATAATAATTATATAATTTTGGCTAATATGATAATTTCATTAGTTATATTTATTCAAAATAGCAAGATTGCTAGCTGTTTACAAACTAACAGAATGGACTTTATAACATTACTTGCAGTGTAATTGTGAGATTATGTCTTAATTTTCTACAGGTTGCTTGTGCTTTTGCACGAATTTATGTGCGTTTGCCAACGGGTAATTATTTACTAGGTATATTATTTACTAGGTTTTCTAGTATTTTGAGATTTTTTAGCACTTACATACAGGGTGGCCCATCGAAAACGTTCCGCAAGGCATAACGGCCAGGGTATTTTTTTTCAAAAAATCCAAAAACACTTCAATTTTGTTTGTGAGGGGGACAACTTTTGCCCCAAAAATGATTGCAAAATATCAACCCTTTAAGCGGGGCAGTCATCCCCAACTTTTTCAAATGGGAAGGGGGGTCAAGTGGTACCGACTTGTGCGTTGAAGTTCTCAATATTGTTAAACTTTTTAATAATTATGGTGTACTCACTTGCAGAAAAAGTCGAAATAATCGAATTTTATTTTAAAAATAATGAATGTATCGGGTTGCGCAGATACTCAATGAACGCCATCCTGACAAACATCTTTATGGCAAAATTGTTCGCGAGTTATTAGCAAAATTTCGCGAAACTGGTTCCGTTATGAATAAAAAGAGGCAGAGGGAAAATCCTGTAGTAAATGAAGCTATGGAGGTATTCGTATTGGATCAAGTTGCCATGGATAGTACGCTGAGTACAAGAAAATTAGCCAACGAGACCGGCGTGAAAGTGTCCAAAGGATTTAAAAAACACAAGTTCCATCCGTACAAAATTCAGTTGGTACAAGAACTCAACGAAGACGATTTTGATCGTCGCTTGCAATTTTGTGAAACTATGAGTGAACGAGTGGCGAATAATAATAATTTCCTATTTAATGTGTGTTTTTCAGATGAGTGTACTTTCTTTTTGAACGGTGTAGTTAATCGGCACAACCGTCGGTACTGGGCTGAGGACAACCCCAGGGTTTTTCACGAGGTGCACACACAAAACCCTCAGAAATTGAATGTGTGGGCTGGCATTTTTGGAAATTCTATTGTGGGTCAGTTTAACGATATTGAGAAGAACTTGCGATATTGAGAAGGACAGCGTTCATTGAATAAGTGCGCAACCCGATACATTCATTATTAATAAAATAAAGTTCGATTATTTCAACTTTTTTCTGCAAGTGAGTACACCATAATTGTTAAGAAGTTTAACAACATTGAGAAGAACTTCAACGCACAAGTCACAGAACAGCTATCTAGCAACTACCGCACCTGATCCTTCAACCTTGTGGCAAGTGAAAAAAATGCGTAAACATCTAGAAATAATAAGAAAAAACAGCAAATTGGTCGAAGGAATTTATCCTTATCATTTACTCTGATAAATGTTTAAATAAACTTTTCAAATTTCAATCCTTCATATTTTCTCAATGACTTGACCGATTTTCAAAAATGAAGTGGGGAAATATAGAGAATAGAAAGCTATTTTCATTGCGGCGCCACTTGACCCCCCTTCCCATTTGAAAAAAGTTGGGGTGACCCCCCCGCTTAGAGGGTTGCAGATTTTGCAATCATTTTTGGGGCGAAAGTTGTCCCCCTCACAAACAAAATTGACGTGTTTTTGGATTTTTTGAAAAAAAAATACCCTGGCCGTTATGCCTCGCGGAACGTTTTCGATGGGCCACCCTGTATTCTTATACCTAGCAATTATTTTGAATAATATTAAAGATTTTATTTTGATGTGCCCCTGTCTCCGCCTAATAAAGATCGTCTTCACTTTAAGCGACGATATTATTTGTACTTATCATTAACTTTGACATTTTTCATTTTCTTTGTGTAATTATAAAAATATACTAACAAGATATTGAGTAATATTATGCATACAACATTTTAAAATTTACATTAAATATTTGTTGAATACGGAGCATGCTTTTATTATTGAAATAGACATTTTTTGGTGTTCTTAATAAATCAAATGGTATTTTTTTTCTTTTAGACTAAAGAACGCAAAGATAAAGCCACAGTCAGTCTGATGCGTCGTCTAACCAACAAACTGTCGAAGTCTCCACCGCCTTTGTCATATTCTATGGACAATCCCGTCTTTGAGGATCATTCAATTACCCCATTATCATCCCCTGCGTCTCACCCCCGTTCATGTGAGGTAATAGCTTTTTACAGTAATACACACAATAGTGATTTAATATGCTGACAAAGTTTAATGTTTTTTTATTTATATAGTTTTACATAATTTCTAAAAAATGTGAATAATTTCGATATTGATTGGATTTTAGTGTGCTATATTATAAATAAATGGAAATATAAGGAGAACTATATTTTTAATAGTCTAGGAAATACGTTATATCATTATATTTTACCTAAATATACTTTCTAATTTCATCATAAATCTATACAAATATAAAGTAAACCCATCAAAAACGTTAAATGTATAAAAAATGCTAAGCCTCGCAACGCCTGGGCAGCCAAATAAACCAAACCGACGACATCCATGATCGCGATTGGGTTCTAGGCCGAACGATAACGCTTAAACAGCATACGATATCGCAAATTCGTCTGGTAAATAGCATCCGTGATTCCAAATTTTAATTGCCTTAACACCTCTTATAAACGATATGGCGAAATTTATTAATGGGTTGCTATTTCACATTTTGTAAAAATGAAGAGTAAATTTTAAATTTCGATAACAGCTATCTAAATTTTAGTTGACCTTGTATAGCCTGATATTTAATTACAAATTGAAATTTGGCCCGAAAAGTTATACAGGGTGAGATAAAATTAATATGGAACATTAGTCACTTTTAAAAGCAAGTTATTCCTTTATTTTAAATGTTCAGTGGGGAATTTATATATCTTCAAAATATTATTAAGTTTGCCTACCCTTCAGACAAAGATTTTCCTAGATATTTTAATTTTTATGGTTTTGCGTCCGTAGATCTTTATTATTTGAAAAAATCTAGGTGGCTGTGTGATATACCTTTTGTTAATTTAACAAAAATTAAAGATTGTGGAGTAAAATACTCAACGGTAATAAAAATATACATCTTTAAAACATATTTTAATTATTACAGAATTAAAACTCGATATAAACCTATAATTATGTGACAAAAATTAGCTAGATGAAATCAAGTGCTCAAAATGCTTCTTTTCCTGTTAACTGCATAAAATGATTGTCTTTTCAAAAGGACCTTTTCATTTTAAAATGGATATGTGGATTTCTACCTCGAAAAGCAGCTACAATAATTTCTCTCATGTTGTCGACAATAGTTGGTCGAGTTTTGTAAACACTGTCTTTAACATATCCTCATAAAAAACCCAGACTAGCATTTAAGTATTCTATTAATTGATGAATGCACACTTCAGTCACCAACTAATAGAATCATATCAATTCTTTCTGATGTAGGATAAATTTGCATTTTCGGCAAATTTCTGAGAATTTTTTGTTTGTTTTAACTGATACAAAATGATAACTATAAGTTGGAGTAATTAGACAGCTATGTTGAAGTAACGTCAGACATATAGCCACCTAGATTTTATCAAATAATAAAGATCTACTCAGATCAAATCATGTAAATGAAAATATCTAGAAAAATCTTTGTTTGAGTGGTAAGCAACCTTAACAGTATTTTGAAGATACATGAATTCTCCATTGAATATCGGAATAATCTACTGGGCGTTCCATTTAAAATAAAAGAGTAACATGCTTTTAAAGGTGGCAAATGTTAATTTTGTCTCACCCTGTATAACTTTTTGGATCAAGTTTTAATTTGATTTAAAGTACAATAGTTAATTTAACTATGTACATATTAGGCTATACCGGGTAAACTCCACTTTAGGTAGCTTTTATTGTAATTTAAAAATTGTTCTTTATTTCTAGAAAATGTTAAATATGTCAAAAACCTTACATTTTAGTTATATACTTCTCTTATAAAACTCACCTTTATTTTTTTCCCAGAATCCGAAAAAAAATTAATGTATAGGGTGTTCCATTACAAAAAACACAACTTTGATATGTAATTTTTTTGGGACACCCTGTAGAACTCTCTATATTTTAATACTATAACCTACATACATATGTTCACAAAATTTCATTTCAATACAAACTGTCGTTCTCTTTGGAGCCTCCGCAGTGTATGTTTCAAAAAATGTTTCAAAAACCAATTTATATAAATTATCTCGTAAATTATTATTGGAATGAAAATTTTATGGAAAATCCCCTGACCAAAAAATATTTTCATGCGCATATTTGAGACAACCTGTATATCTAAACTATTTTTAAAATCTGCACACATGCTAAAAAAAATAATAACGTTTAATTAATTACATAATATCTCAGCTTCTAAAATAAACAAATATAATTAAATGTTAATTGATAATTACTATCAGCTTGCCGATTTACATGCGATGGAAATCTAAAAAGACTCAAAGAACAATTTTTTGAATTATTTCCAAAATTAATAGCAGCGCACAGTAAGGCACTCATTTTTTGGCAATCCGTCCCTGTGCTCGGACGCAACGCTCGAACCTATACTCGAACCTCACAGCTCGACGGACCGAATTCAACTGAAACGCTTTGCAACCTGCCAGCTTGCAAAAACTGGCAGAAAATATTTGCGAGAGTGCAACTACTCCTTTCCTTAAACTATGCCTGTACTATGAGAGGATAAAACATAATTTGCAGTATTAATGGTATACTCTTTTTTTAATCAACTAGTGATTAAATGTTTTATGAACATCTTCTAAAATTGTAATTTATGTACTTTTAAAAAATATCGTTATAGCTGAAATAGCCCTAATTATGACCGCACTAGCAAAAACGGCGTGTAATTAAAATTAAAACACATTAATCCTGTAACAAAATTAAACTTTGTCATATATATAGTCACCCATAGGCTAGGTCGATCCGCAACTTCCACACGTTGTACGTTTTATATTGTATGATCCCGTCGTTTGTTGCATGACCTTGAGTGTTCCCCAGGTCCGGCTCGTGCCCCAGCCAACTGTTCAGATCCAGCCCTCCGAGCACCAGCGTTTGTTCGGCTACTCTTCGCATCGGGTTAAGCACAAGGAGCGACCCTCTATCCTTCACCATGGTAACGCCAGGTCCGTGTGCCCGTCTTTAGCCGCTGCCGTAGAAATCTAGTGCATGTCTCTTAAGGCTTGACCTGCTTGGTGGTGGTAGACTTAGCCGTTATTATTTTCAGGATTTTTTCTTTTTAGTTCTTTTATTGTTGGATTTTTGTATTTTTGGTTTTCTCGAATTTCAACGAGTAGAAAGAGTAAATAAATGTCGTCAGTAAAGAAATGTCGTGAAATATTACTTATTTATAATAATAGCCTATAATAGCTCCCGTATACAGGGCGCTACAAATTCGAGGTACGAGCATTGGTATCTCGGAAACCGTAATAGATACGAAGATGGTTAAATTGGGACAAAGTTCCGCTTTGGAATGTTCACCAAGATGCCATCAAAAAGTTCTAAAAATTTCAAGGATTGCTGAGTTTTTGGAAAGTCAATTTTATTTTTTCCTGTCATTACTTTTTAGAAAATCAGAAAACTAATTACTCGTTCTCATAGCCACTTTATTAGGGCTATCTGATAGTACTTTTAGATTTTCAAATTAGCTGATAATTTGTGAGATACAGAGGCCAACTTAATTTTTTCAATACGGACCTGCATTTTTTATTTCAGGTGAAAGAACTCGGTCTCCTGAGTATAATGATATGCCACACTTGATACTTTCTTTATATAACAATAAAAAGCTCTTTAATTATTATTTAAAATAATTTCAAGTACGACTCTGGTTTTTTAAATTATATTAACTTTTTTTATTGTGAATTTGGGATCTCAATGTACGATGTAATAATATTCATAATATTAATCGTAGTTATTATAAGTAAATCAACTTCTATACACTAGTTTCTAATGCTCTACATGTTCGAAAGGGTTACCATCCTCCCTAATGCACAAATTTAATTTTTGTTCAATCTTATTTATAGCTCTTTGAACATAACTTCTTGTTATAGTTCCGAATGCATTTTGTACTCTTTATTGTAAATGTTGAAATGTATTGATTTCACTTTTACAAATTACGCCAAGTAATGCCCCTTTAGTTATTGCATTTGATTTTCCGTATTCAATGTTTTACCCCACGTCATTGTTAAGTTTGAAAGCTTATCGATATTGTAACGATGAATAGATTAAATCTTAAAAAAACAGAGCCGGACTTGAAATTAGTTTAAATAAATTATCTTCAAATGTCCGAAACAAAAAAAAAATGTGTGGCATATCATTGTACTCAGGAGACCGAGTTCTTTCAAAATCTGAAATAAAAAATGCAGGCCCGTATTTAAAAAAGTTAAGATGGCAACTGTATCTCACAAATTATATTATCAGCTAATTTGAAAATCTAAAAAATACTATCAGACAGCCCTAATAAAGTGGCAATGTGAATGTGCAATTAGTTTTTGATTTCCTAAAAGTAACGTCAGGAAAAATAAAAATGATTTTCAAAAAATCCGTTTTTCCAAAAAGTCAGCAATTCTTGAAATTTTTAACAAAAAATCGATGGTATCTTGGTGAACATCCTAAAGCGCAACTTTGCCCCAATATAACCATGTTCGTATCTATTACGGTCACCGAGATACCATTGCTCGTACCTCGAATTTGTAGCACCCTGTATAGCGTTTAACGCTTTGGGAGTACCAAGGTACAGCTTGTCATTATATAGCCGGTATACAAGGATATCACTTATTTTATTATATAATATATAATATATACAGGGTGGCCCATCGAAAACGTTCCGCAAGGCATAACGGCCAGGGTTTTTTTTTTCAAAAAATCCAAAAACACGTCAATTTTGTTTGTGAGGGGGACAACTTTTGCCCCAAAAATGGCTGCAAAATCTTCAACCCTCTAAGCGGGGGTGTCATCCCCCAACTTTTTTCAAATGGGAAGGGGGGTCAAGTGGCGCCGCAATGAAAAGAGCTTTCTATTCTCTATATTTCTCCGCTTCGCTTTTGAAAATCGGTCGAGTCATTGAGAAAATATGAAGGATTGAAATTTGAAAAGTTTATTTAAACATTTATCAGAGTAAATGATAAGGATAAATTCCTTCGACCAATTTGCTGTTTTTTCTTATTATTTCTAGATGGTTACGCATTTTTTCACTTGCCACAAGGTTGAACGATCAGGTGCGGTAGTTGCTAGATAGCTGTTCTGTGACTTGTGCGTTGAAGTTCTTCTCAATGTTGTTAAACTTCTTAACAATTATGGTGTACTCACTTGCAGAAAAAGTTGAAATAATCGAACTTTATTTTAATAATAATGAATGTATCGGGTTCCGCCATAGATTTAGTAAGAACAAATATCACATTGTGCATTTTAACCCGATCCAACAATCGGAGGTTGACTACGTACTGTAAAAACCAACTGAGATAGAGAAGGCGACATTGCCACATCTCAAATTTGCGCCTATCTACTTAGTTTGATTTGCAAAAAAGGTGACTTTAAAACCTTCACCGGATATCAATAAATCTCAATTTCTTAATTAAATTTATAGTTTATTTTAAAGAAGCATGCGTAATAATATGTTATTAACCAGAGGATATATGCGTTACTATTAAAGGACATGTTTACTGTTTAATGTGCTGAAACGTCTAGAACTATTGGCAACGTCGCTGCTAGTCTTCCGGAATGAAATGAGCCGTCCGTCCCACCACCCCTCGCGACGGCCGTTGGTCCGTTATAGCGTACTACGTTTAGCTTACGGTGTGTTTGAAGTCGGAATCAAGCCCGAAGTGAACTTTTCGGTGTTTTTCATTAGTTTTTGTTTTTGTTTAACGTACTTTTGAATCTGCGAATTTTCAATATGGTAGGACAGTGTCAAATGTGTGGAAAAATAAGCTCAAATTACCCGAATTTGTCTTTTTCACAGGTAGGTATTGTTTCCGCCGTAATCGTACATAGGCGTCCCACAAGGGAGCCTCTCACAATTAAAATAATTTCTAATTATATTTGTTGAATTTTGATCTATTAAAATAAGAACGTAGTAGCCGGTAATTGAATTATAATTCGTCTCAATTACTACCTAACTGTATCATAACAAATCATAACAAATTTGAATATAAACGTTGCATTTGAAACTTTATTATAAGCCAGAAAAAGTGACATTTTTTTTAAATTGTGTCATATTTTGGTCATTATATACGATATTCTAAAGGAATTTTGCTCAACAAATAAACAAAGGTGTTTACCCGTCCTTTTTACATTTTATTGCTTTATTATATCTTATATCTGCCCCTTCGGTCTTGTTTAGACAATTTTTACCACTGTACAATACAAATACCTCTTTCTAGAGTTATTTGTGCGGTGTGTTTACCTTTTTTAGAATGGGACGAACTGTAAATAATTCTTAGGCTACTAGTTTTATACATACCTATATGCAGAGTGACCCAGGCCTCCAAAAAGCTTTTTACCTATTACGTTTTTGGTTTGTGATTTTTATTTCAATTTTCTACATAAGATCGGGGCCATTGAAAAGCACATTTTCAAAAATATTTTTGTCAACATACAGGGTGATTCAAACCGCAATACATATGCTTAATACAGTTCATGAAGATTGGGACATTTAACTAAAATTTGATTGTCTGATGAAGCTACCTAAGTAATGGATTTGTAAATAAACGTAATATTCATTATTATGCGACAGAAATCCCATACTGTAGCACACAGATTTGATACTTTTAAATTTCTCATTAAAATACATATTGATTTTAGGTATAGGAAGCTATCGATTGCGAACTAACTAAATTGTAACTAATTACTAATTTTGAAAAGTTCTTTTTAAGATCAAAAAAAAGTAAAACTAAAACCTAAACTATCATTTGAGATTAAACGGGAAGTTCTAAATAATGTTGCCTATTCTAAACAGGAAAAATTTATTTATAAGTTTTATAACATCTCTAATTAAATTTGGACGAAAAGAATATTTCTGTTTGCTGTAGGTAATTTTTCTCAGGGAAAATACGTAAATAAAAATGACTTTTAAGTCAAAAAGTCAAAAGGACAAGTTATTCCAAAAAGGACAGGTGGCAACCCTAGGTATTTCTGAATGGAAATTTAATGGCAAATCTACAACTTTAGTAAAATATGTTCCGGCCACCTATGTTTACAAAAATGTCTAAAATGTGCTTTACCATTGCCTCCATATTCTAAAAAAATTGAAAGAAAAGTCACCAGCCACAAACCTAATATAGAACTGTTTCGGAAGCCTGAGTCACCCTGTAAATATTCAAAAGTAACTGAAAGTTTATAGAGAAGTAACTGACAGTTTAAATTGAATATCGACGTTGGAGCGATTTTCGAAAACTATCTACTAACGTTTCAACATAAGTATATGTGGGATATTAATTATATTATTATATTAGACCTTATAACAAAACTCATCTAACGAAAAAGTGTTAATGTAGTATATTAATATGGAGTAAAAATTTTACTAATTACTTTACTTTTACTTTACTACTTAAATTCGTTCCAAAAACGATACGCCACTGGCCATTAGAACAATCCAAATGTGCCTAGTTGCCGGGGTCGGAAATTTTAGACTTCCCTGTCTCTTCTGTCCTTGTTCGACACATTGGAATGTTTGATACACTACCAACGAGTATTTATGAATGAGATGTTCGGTCTATCTTTATAATGTCTTTGGGTTCCGCAGATATTCAATGAATGCCATCCTGACAAACACCTTTATGGCAAAATTGTTCGCGAGTTAGTAGCAAAATTTCGCGAAACTGGTTCCGTTATGAATAAAAAGAGGCAGAGCCTGTAGTAAATGAAGTTATGGAGGTATTCGTATTGGGTCAAGTTGCCATGGATAGTACGCTCAGTACAAGAAAATTAGCCAATGAGACCGGCGTGAATCGTACAAATGTCCAAAGGATATTAAAAAAACACAAGTTCCACCCGTACAAAATTCAGTTGGTACAAAAACTCAACGAAGACGATTTTGATCGTCGCTAGCAATTTTGTGAAACTATGAGTGAAACGAGTGGCGAATGATAATAATTTAATGTGTGTTTTTCGGATGAGTGTACTTTCTTTTTGAACGGTGTAGTTACTCGGCACAACTGTCGGTACTGGGCAGAGGACAACCTCAGGGTTTTTCACGAGGTGCACACACAAAACCCTCAGAAATTGAACGTGTGGGCTGGTATTTTTGGAAATCCTATTGTAGGTCAGTTTAACGATATTGAGAAGAACTTCAACGCACAAGTCACAGAACAGCTATCTAGCAACTACCGCACATGATCGTTCAACCTTGTGGCAAGTGAAAAAAGGCGTAAACATCCAGAAATAATAAGAAAAAACAGCAAATTGGTCGAAGGAATTTATCCTTATCATTTACTCTGATAAATGTTTAAATAAACTTTTCAAATTTCAATCCTTCATATTTTCTCAATGACTCGACCGATTTTCAAAAACTAAGCGGGGAAATATAGAGAATAGAAAGCTCTTTTCATTGCGGTACCTCTTGATCCCCTTCCCATTTGAAAAAAGTTGGGGGATGACACCCCCGCTTAGAGGGTTAATAGTGATATCAGTTGAGGGAGTTGTATCTAAACGATTTAAGGAATTTTTGCATAAGGCCTCTCTACCCTCAGGCCTTTACGTACCAATGCAGAGAAGCGCAATTTTACACACATGCAGAATAGTACGTAAATTCCTGGCTATGGGATAAGGTGAATTCCTTCTCCAGAAGCCAGCCCAACCAGCATTTGCAGAGAAAAAAAATAAAATATAATATATAAAATAAAAGTAAACTGGTATAAATTTAAATAAGTCCCTACACTAAATTCGATTTTGAAAATAGTTACTAATTGGCACTAGAAACTTCTCCCCACATATACTCATCAAATATTTTATTTCTACATCTTTCCGTTTTCGTATAATCAACCGAGGCGAATGAGGTGCGCCACCCTGTATACATCTTGCTAAAAAATTCATGTATATAGGGCTAAAAATAACAAAAATAGAACACTTTAAATTTGACCAAAAATTTCTCCGTTGCGTTTTTTTGCATCTGAGTGTATACAAATATAACAAAGTATAGAACTTAAAAACATATTTTCGATTGCAAATAAAAATGAGTTTGATTTATACACAGAGAATGTTTTTTTTATTAATATCAATATGTGAATGGTCTGAAGTTTTTTGTTTGCGTTAGTAAATCTAGAGGATATTGCGTCAGAACTTAAACTAACAGTGATATTATTGGGAATTCCAGAAATATTGTAAAATCGTTAGTTGTGCAGCGTGCGGTAGATCTGAGTCAAAAACGAGATTAATAAGAGAATAATTTTTACTCGTAAGTAACTATGTATACACATTATTTGTAGTAAATCAATCAATTATAAAATTAGCTCAGAATTAACTAATTATATATATTTTCTTGCATTTCTACTTTTATTTATAACTTTTCAAAAATAATTAGTGTATCTGATATTTTTGATATTAAATAATTATTACAATTTATCTATTTTTATTAGGAATATATTTTTTATTTAATAATATTTACTGACAACATAAAACCAATTAGTGTGTTGTGTAGTGTTAAAAAGTTGAGTTTTTAAATTATCGCGATTACTGACGTTTTCTCGTTATAAAAAAATGGACACCTTAACGATATCCTTATAATTCCCTTTCAGATGCTCAGAAACATGTCTAATGATGTTATCTAGTTATCTTTTCGAAAAAAAGTCTTTTAAAAATAAGCGGTTTGCGATCGTGATTTTACTTTACTTGATAGGGAAAGGCGTACCGGAGAAATGTGGCAACGCCGCAACAGAACACCGTCGCATTTCTCTCACTGCGACTTAATAAGATTGCGGCGACTTTTTAAAAAGATAGAAAAAATTATGTAAAAAGGATATTAAAAATTAAATAGAAAACCGCAGCGTACGGCTGCTCTTCGTCTGGTGAACATTAGGTGTAGGTTCATTTAATTATTTTTGCATATTGTTGGGCACCACTTAATTTAAGCCAAGTTAATGTGATATTTAAAAAAAATAAGAAAATTACCACAGGGCTAAAGATGTTCAGTAGTGATATATCTCAAATTAAAACAGCAAAATTTAATAAAAGCCTATGTACAGGGTGAGTCAACGATAGAGTAAAGTCTATTATCTCATTTGTTTCGAGGTTTACAAAAAATGTTTCGTAGAAAGTTAAGAAAAAAGAGCAAAAAGACTCTAACAAAACGTAAATCAGTACTTAGCTTTTGCTCTGAAGCTGTAGTCAATCAGTGTTGATTTCATATCGTACCTGGGCCCATATCCAATATGGTACGTATACATTGGTGCGCTGCGACGCGAACGCGCAGCGCGCGCGCCGAGCATTGTCCGCGCGTTACTTTTATTGTTTTAACGAACATCCCGCGATCCATAGAAATCCCGCGAACATTCGTCTAGTCGTTAATCATGTCTCTATCGTCCGAGAAGAACTACGCAATTTTAATCATGAGTAATGCGACTCTTTAAACACTCCATTAATAAACAATATTCAAAGAAAAACACAAAAAAGGGAATTTATTCAAAGAAAATATACATAGTTACTGATAAATGCGCGCGGAATGCCCGCGATGTCTTCACCGGCCGTCCCAATTGAACGACGAAGAAACAAAGCGGAGCGTCGAAAAACCGACTGGAGATGGTTCGCCGCTAGCTGTTTGCGCGCAACTTAAAAACACATACCGATAGAGGCGAATCGGTGCGCGCGTGCCGCGCGTTCGCGGCACAGCGCGCCGGTATATACGTACCATTATGCAACTGCTTCAAACCATCAGAAAACTTGGAAATTTGCGGAAAAAGGGGAAACTCGCCAGTTCACACCGGCCTCCAACAGGGAACCTTCACGGAACCATTCAAAAAACCAATAACTGTTCAAAAATTTCTGCTTTTAAAACTATTGCTGTGCTTAAAATCTTCTCAAAAAAACTCCTCCAAAATGTTCTCGTTTCTACAACGAAAGTCCCAAAATGCCAATTCTTCCCTTTAGGATGGTAAGGGACACAATTCGCAGGGCTATTCTCTGCCACATACGATGTACAAAGACTTTTATAGGAAGATGAAGACCACTCTGGGACTTTTCACCAGTGGTTGGAATGGAAGTGTCGAAAAATCCGAGCAAAGCCCAGTTCATGCACTTGCGAAATGCGATTTACGAATTGCGAAATGCGTTCTTTTTGCCTTGCAATTTGTCGCTTTCAAGATCTTCCCTGAAGGCAGTCAATCAAAACGCATTTCGCAATTCGTAAATCGCAATTTGCAAGTGCATGAACTAGGTTTAAATCGTTAAAATTCTGCCAGAGATTATCTTCTGAAGACAAAAATGTGTTTATACACACACCAAACTGTGCTCGAAATAAGGAAAATTCAGGAAAGTTATCAATATAATTTAAAGAATAATTTAAACTAATAATATAAATTGCAACCCTGCGCCACCACATGGAACGGCATTCACGGTACTATCAAAATTGCAGCGGTACAAACTAGGGATGGGCATTATTTTACTTAAATTCAGCTAGAGATGTAGCGCAAAAATAAGAAATTATTTTAGGCTGCTACAAGATCCCTATGCCATTTACTTCCAGACATGTAAATACCGATCCAAAAGTAAGAGTTGTCAGGACGGTTTAACTTAGAAACTAAATACGATTTTTCATTACTTTGTTACATTTTTACTTTTTCTACTCGTAATTTTTTTAAAACATTGCTTTTACATATCGTTAAAATGCTTTTTTTAAACGAAGGTCTGCCGTGGCTGGTCAGTTAGACGTTTCGAGTTCTAGCCCCGACGTCTACCGTCACAAGAAATCGAACTCCCTCGATGCTGGCAATCACAAGTCTTCCAAGACGGGGACGCAGACCGTACGCGAGAGATTTAGGTGCATTACTCCGTATCCTCCGAATAGCGAATATGAATTGGAGTTGCAGGTAAGAAACGTTAAATTATTCTTCTATATTCTTAGCTTAGTTCATAATATAAGAGCTAGCAGCGTTTTCGAGAAAGTTTTTTAAAAAAGCTGGCTCTTTGATATATCTTTTATTATGCTCTCAGCGGCTGGAACAGCATGCGGGCCGTCTGGCTGCCGATACACGTTGCTTTTACTAACTGCGCATCGGAAGAAGATCCTATATATTTTTTATTTAGTCAAATTCTAGTATTGAATATAAATCGAGCAAGTCTCCATAGCGGCAGCCAGGAGAAGGAAGACGAAAGAGGAAGAGCTTGCAACGGCGCAAGCTCTTCCAGAGAGCATAGTAAAATATATATCACGGAGCCAACTCGACTGTGATCAGTCAATACTATACAAGCAGTGTACAAGTGAGACGCGCATTATTATATAGCGTTGATTGGAGAAATAAGATGCGCAACCTTAATGGGCGATTTCGTGGCACAAAACCTGTCCGATATGTAGCTGGCGTTACCGTCAGCCTGTCCGAGAAATCCGAGATTTAGTTTAGCTTTGCGCCGTTGCGCGCTTATAGTCATTTACAGAGCAGCGGATAAAGAATACTGTATCGTAGTTCTGCTTTCAGTCGACAGATTGAGGGCTTGCCGGAGACAGTGGTGCCAGAACTACTGATTAATGCGTAGATCTACGGGTTTTGGGTACAGTACGTAAATAATACGGATTTTCATTAAACAATTTAAACACTAATTAATAATTAATTAAAATAATTAAATTAATTATTTTGAAGAATGGAACACGACAGACTACTTCTTAATATTATCAAGCGACGAAAACTTGAATACCTTGGCCATATATCCAGAGGACATCGATATGAGTTTCTCCGACTGATCCTTAACGGAAAAATCCAAGGAAAGAAGTGGATTGTGATTCAATTCGCCCAGTAGGTTGTGCATCTTTCCAATTCTTTCAATCAACGAATATAAGTATAGTTATATTTATAATAACTTTGACCGTGTCATCCCGCCTTAAAAAGAGTAATTTTCAGGCGTGGGAGCGGGACAATTTGTTTTTCTTCTTGGTTGTGCACCTTCATGGTACTCTGATTGGAAGTTGCTGCTTATTTTAATATAAAATTTTTTGAATATTTTCAGGTGCACGATATAATTTACGTTCATAAGAAAAGAGAAGATGGTTGGTATAAGGGAACTCAACAAAGAACGGGCAAAACGGGTCTATTTCCGGCGAGTTTCGTGGAGAGCTTTTGAAGCTCGCTCGTGGCCAAAGCGGTTCGATAGCAGGTGCCTTACTGACGGGACCCAGCCATTCCTGCCTTTAATTTAAGACAACATTTTTACGACCTACTAGAACATGGTTTGGTAAAAATAACAACGGTTTCTCTTCCATTATATTAATGTCTAAACATGAATGCCATGTCCAACGTTTTGTCCCAGTGCCGTTGGCCTATTTCAAACTTTACTCATGTTTCTGTTGATTTGGAACGTCTCTCTATATAAAGTTCGGGACTAATCTTAATTAAAGTACACTCAGATGCAAAAAATGCAACGGAAAGAAATTTCGTCATAATTAATTTTTTTTATTTTTAGCCCTATTGTCATGAATTTTTTCTCAACCTGTATATAAATATATCAACTTTAATTCGTAAACTCAGTTTATAATGAACTTTAGTATTTGGCTTATTATACAGGGTTAATCGAAGGGTTTTTTTACCTTAACTTTAAAACACCCTGTGAAATAATTTTGGGAGTAAATTTTTCTAAAACATTATTTTTCGGTCAGAACCATGGCTCCTGAGCATCTTCGTTTTTTGATTCATGTCAACACATGCCTTGGTTAATTTTTAAGAGCGAAATGAACTGGCCACCAACAATTTGAAATATTTTCAATAATCATTACATTTTTGTGTCATTTTTTAATATGAGGCTTTAATGACTATTGTAATGTCACGTTGACAGTTACATTTTATGTACCTACGATTCGACGAACCTTTAAAACACTCTCATACTTGCCTGCAACCCCCTGACACCGACTTCTTGGTCGCATTGTTAAAACAGAAAGGGGGGACCCCCACCACCACAATCCCAGCGCCATCTCTTAAGGAGATGAGCGGCGCCCCACAATGCTAGTGATTATTTTTTCTCCTTTCTGTTTTCTCTTTTTCCTCTATTTTCTTTATTGCCAAATAAATTAACAGTAATTTATTTTTTAAGGGGACCGCTCCTCCGAGACGGCGGAGGGTTGTGGGCACCCTCTTTCAATTTGCCCGAAGACCGGAGGTACCTTTCAACCCTCCGTTGTCCCATTGGTGGGTCTTACAAACAAGTTACTTCATCCTAAATTTATGAGCTTATACTAATCGCAGCTTTTATAAACTTAAAGTCAATTTAACCTTCGTGGTGGAAGCCTAAGGTCGAAAAAGCATCCCGGAGGTTGAGGTTGTTTGATGTGATGAGTTTTTGAAGCAGGTCCTCAGGAGACTGGAAGTCCGGAAGCGTCAGACGTTCTCGAACGAGCGTTATGCAGTCGTAGATCCTGTGGAAGGGATCATTTAGCTTTTCTGTATTAGATCTCACCATCTCCAAAGTCTATATTGGCGATGTAGGCTTCCAATTTGCGTTTATATGAATTACATTTGTTGTCTCTAGACTTATGTTTTGCATCCTCCTTAGCGTTAAGGCATAGGATACACCTGTGCTTTTGAGTATCTTCTTTATCTGGGCATGATCTTTCGCACAAAAGCCACATGCTGTTTTATTGTTGCACTTTGAAGCTACGTGTCCATACCCCTGGTATTTATAGCACTTGGTTATAGAAATTCGCTCATCTATTTTACACGAATTCCATCCTATATACATAGTTCCCCTCTTAAGGAGAGTCATTGTTGCCTCTGGGCTGCACTCAACGACCTAATGAGTATATGTCTTTCCTCTTGGCCCAACTTTGAAGATAGGTTCTATCTTGGGTGGATTCAATGTGTACCGATTCCTTTTCTAAATCAGCAGGAACATTAAATATTATTAAGCGAGGTAAAAATTTGCCTAATTTCTCAACTTTTATTTTTAAGCCCTCTGTTAATTCTGGGTTGTTCAGTTTATGCAAATGTTCATTATCAGCCTCGATGACCACCTTTTCATCTCTACGGACGAACACTTTGATGGGATTAAATCCAATGTCTGAAGGTTTAATGCTTTGTAGAATTCTATTTTTAGTTTCTACTCCTTTTACGCCTTCTTCTGTTGAATATATTGCAATCTTAAATGTTTTAGGTGGGGGAGCCATGGGCTTTTTGATTCCTTGTACCTTAATTGTGCTTCCAGCTATTGCTGCATATGATCTGTGTGGATCCAAGAGATTCTAATTTCTTTTCTTGAGCTTCGATCTTAATGTTTTGTTCATTGATTAATTATTTAATCTCATTAATCGTTTCTGGAATTTCAGCAATTACTTGAAATAAGTTGCCTCTAAGGTCATCTATTTGTTTTTTGACTTTTTTAGCCGAATCATGAAGCTTAGTTTTAGTTTCTCTGCTGTCTCTGTTTAACCCTGAAATTTAAGTAGTTAGTGTTTTAAATGCTATCATGACCTTATTGAATTGCTCTTCAACTTCGTTCTTGACGGGTGACGGTGTGCCTGTGTTTGTTTTCTTTGCTAAATCTCCGGACTCGGTACTCTCATCCAAGCCTCTTTTATTTCTTGATCTAAGTTCTGGAAACTCCGAAGAGTCTTCCATAGATGCTTCCTCTAATGCCTCAGCCATCGTGCCCACTCCGAAGGGAGCGGCAGTCGCTCTAGGGGGTAATCACTCCCCCTAACACGTCTTAGCCGTATCCAGGAGCTTACCACCTCTGCGAACGGAATTTTACTGCCTGGACTTCGTTTACCGCTAGTAGCCCACGTGGAGGGGGGTGCCGAACTTTAACCAATGCAAATTTTGCTTGAAATCAATTTTGTCCGTCTACCAGTAATAATCGCACCTCGGATAAACCTCATTGATGCGATAATGCCACTGCGCAAAGCTAATATCACATTAAGACAATAGTTACCTAAGCCACCTCGTCATATTAAAAAATGGCATAAAAATATAATGAGAATTGAAAAAACTGCCAATTGTCTGTGGCAAGTTCATTCCGTTTTTAAAGAGTAACCAAGGCATGTGTTGGCATGAGCCAAAAAAACAAAATGCTCAGAAGCCATGGTTCTAACCTAAAAATAATTTCCAGGAAAATTTACTCACGAAATTAATGCACAGGGCGTTTAAATTTAACGCAAAAAAGCAACCCTTCGATTATCCCTGTATAATAAGTCAAATACTAATAATAATAATACAGCTCCCGTATACAGATTGTTAACTGGACAGTTACTTATAGGTGAACAGAATGGCAACACTGCCTATTGAGAACGCATGCACTTATAGGGTTTTCTGCCGTCTCGTCCCGTCGAGTCGTCTATCGACGGGCGGGCCGAGGTTGCCATATTTCAACCATAAAGCTCTTTATTTTTTTATTTCTCGTTTAACGCCTTGGGAGTAGCAAGGTACAGCTTGCCACGCTAGAGCCGTTCGGTATACAAGGAAAAGTTTATAAATATCTGAATTTAAAAATTAAAGTAGTTATACAGTTTGCTAAAAAAATCAATAAAATAGGGCTAAAAATAAAAAAAAATATATTTATTAAAAATATATTAAATTTGAGGAAAAAATTTCCGTTGCGTTTTTGTTGCATCCGAGTTTATTTAGCGAGGCGCTGAATAAGTAAGAATTTGCATATAATTAGTTTTAAGGACACTGTTATATATCTTCAACATAGTATAATATTTTTAGTTATTATTTATTAATCAAAATGGCTTTTAATTTAATGCAGTAGATATATTTATTTTTACATTTTTAAAAATATAATGCATTCTTTTTGAAATCTTGCGGTTTAAAGAAATTGAAGAATTGCTATTATATTTTGCTTCTATACCATGAGGCAAAAAGAAAGTTTGTTTTGTTTTCGAAGGGTGGGCTATTAATGGGATAATAGGGTTTCCAATAATGTATGATTCATATCAATTCCGTTACTACAGTCTGATTCGCGAAAGAATACTTTTATAAAGTGTATTTTTATTGGAGAAATCCATTTAAAATCGATATTTAAAGGTTAGGCACAGACCCCAGTATAATTTTTTGCCTCGATTCTTGGACGAAACAAAGGCGAGGTATCTTTTGCCCCAAGTGCATACATTAGAAAGCTGGCTCAGAATATTCATATTCTGACGCCTTAGTTATCTGTTAGTAAAAAATTGTTTTGTTAATGTTTTTTTTTAAATTACTGTTAGTAAAACTATATTTACCTTTTTGTTCAGCGATTTGTTTGATACTGCGTTTTGATTTTTCTCATTTAATGATATTCGTTTAGTTATAGGTGTACAGTTAAATGGCGATTAACCAAATATATAACATGCGGTCGAATGAAAACGACATCCCAGTTAAAAATATTGGAAATTATTTTTTAAGCTCTACTGCTAAGATTATAGATAATGCTACTGACAGCTGGTTGTGAAAGCATAAATAGGTTCCAAAATTAAAATATCGCCAGTGAAACCTGATCTGCTAACTCCATTTTTGACTTTTATTAAATAATACGTTTAATACATAATTTTTACGTTAAATTTTTAACGAAGTAATGAGTTTTATTGTTCTCCAGCAATTATTACTGTTATCTCTTTATGATATTAACGCATGAATATACTTGCTACATGTGTACATATTTTATTGTACCGTTTCATTTCTCTCCTGTAAAATTCGGAATAATGGAGTTAGCAGTTTATCACATTTCACCGGCGATATGTAGTTTTGATGATCTCGATTTAATTTTCGATATTCTGGTTTTAACGTTATACAGGGTGCGTCAAAAAGCTCGCAGCGGTTGTGTTTTTTTTTAATATTAAACTATTGAAAAAAGTTTATGGATAATTTCATCAGTTTACCCAATAAATAGATAATTTTGACATTTGCCATGCCATCAACTCATGCCAGCAAATTGCTCAAATCCTCTACGTATGAAAAAAATGGGTTTAGGGAACAAACGATTGATTAAAGTTATTTGATAATTATCAAATGATAATGAAAAAAATATTGTACCTACTATTCTTGATACATTAATTTGTAATTCAAGTGAAAAATATTTTTTTGAATATTTGAGAAATAATGTATAAAATGTTTTTTAATAAAAATGAAATGAAAAATAAGAAAGTCTAAAAAATAGAAGTTCCTGTTAAAATTAGTAAAAAAGGTGGTACGAGGTTTGCTTCCTTAGAGAGTTTTATTTTCTGGGTGGCTATCCTTTGTACTAGAACAGAAACTCGTATGAAAAAATCGTATTGATTTATTATTTTTCTGATTTTTTACCGATTACTTTTGCTTATTAAAATTAAGTTATAGAGTGGCGAAGAGAATTCGAATTGAAGGTTGTGCTGCCGCGATAAAGGTAAACTTATGTAGGCGTGTTTTAGCCCTTGGAACTACCTTCCTAGTACCACGTATGCGTATGATAAATTAAAATGACAAGTGATATTTTAAATTTGAGTAGTAAATATAAATTAACTAA